GGAAGCAGCGAGTGTTGCTAGATTTTACTGGCGCTTCCTTCAGTCAGTTATCTCATATCACAGGAAGCGCCAGTAAAATTTAGCAACAGTCGCCGCTTCCTGGTATTCCAGTGCCCCAAAAGCAATGCGCTTTAAGTAACAACTGGGACTCCAGCAGTTTGTTTATCAGCTTGACTGTGCCAGGATCGCGCAAACCCGTTCTGCTACATCATCATGATTGCAGGAATCCAGCACATAAATGTCATTGAAAAACAGAAAAGTAATAACATGAAATTTAAAAGCAGACAATTTGTTAGTCACATTACACAGTTGCAATTTATGATACAGATAAACATCCCACAGGTCGTTCACTATCAGATAAAAGCGCTCACGCGGGAGAACAGATATCTCTTATAAAAAGACTACCACTGCAAAGCGTGGTTCACGTGCAAATACGGGAGACGATGTGAATTTCAACGCCAGATGTAATTGACAATGACAAGGAGATGTCAAATCTGAGCTGGAAGTCATCAATGCCCAAAGAAATAGTTTCCCTTGAATTGGCCTTTACGTTACATCGGCATTATCCTAGCCATACAGCATCGAGAATAAGTTTGCATGAATAAACATTGTAAAGTACAGTCAGATATGAGTTTTGTTTCAATTTTTGTTTTGAATGGGTGTTTAACAAATGCACTATATACACATAAATCTATGGGTTTTTCACAAGAGCAGTATATGCACATACGTGTATGCGTCAGATAGCTAGGGTCATGGTGATACCAGAGCTCTAATCGTTTGGACCGTAGACCCAAGGATGGCGGAGCTACCCGCTGTGTTAAGAGAGATATCTTCTATGGGAACTATTTAAAAGGTACATGACCCCGCGACCCGGCTGCATTTCACCGATCCGCTCTCGTGTCAAAAACGTGTTCTGCCTGGGTTTTGGACGCTTTCTAGACCTTAATTACACTTCAAACACCCGTAACTCCGACAGTTAAAATGGACGCTCCAGCTGACGTCCAAAGAAACGGTACAAGTGAAGGTAGCCACGGAGGGGTGTATGATTGCCGTTTTGTTATTCTCTATTGAATGCTGTTTTTTAAAGATAAGCTAAATAAGGAGATCTTAAGGGTAATACATTCGCTTACAGGCGTCTTACAGTACCGTACACCTGTTTTAAATCACCGTGTAACTAATAGTATTTCTGCCCCTAGCCTTAAGGTACTCGTGTGTCAGCGTATTTATGTGCGTTATGATCTGTTGCGTGGACTATTTCTGTCTTTGTACATGCAATTTGTAACATATATGCAAACTTTAGAAGTAATGCATAAATAATCGATTCGAATGTTCAACCTACGCGAGTGCATGCGTAGATTTAATGATTTAATAAGATTCTGTAATGCTTATATTTAAACCAAAGAACACATCTAGAGCTTGGAATTGATAAAAAAAGCCAGCAAGCCTACGCATTGTTACGTGTTCACTTCCAAGTTGCAACACAGAAGACTTTAAGGCCAAACCTCAGTGGTTGTACTATTACAATGGCAGTATAAAATGTAATAGCAGCGGAAAAAGCAGTAGTCAGTACTGACTGACTGACTGAGTTTGGTTTTACGCCGCTTTTAGCAATATTCCAGCAATATCACGACGGGGGGACACCAGAAATGGGCTTTACTCATTGTACCCATGCGGGGATTCAAACCCGGGTCTTCGGCGTGACGAGCCAACGCTTTAACCACTAGACTACCCCACCGCCCCAGTTGTCAGTAGGCATATGTATTGGCAAATAAATGGTATTGCAAAATATTGCGATTCAGGTACCCGTATTGCGATATATTGGGAGCTTAAGTGTTTGACAGTGAGTGACTATGTTTGTGCATTTCAATCCTGTTTTCTACATTATAAGTCCCTTAACATATAACATCTGATAACAGCAATCTCAAAATTAGGTTGTCAGGGATTCGATTTTCTTTTTTATACAATTTATAGTATTACAGTATGACGTTTTGTCACTGAATAACGAAGGAAAACATTAGTTGTGAATGAAAGTATGTGTAGATTTTAATTTAAATCATAAAGGTAATCACAAAAACTTCATATATGTTCTTTACCCAATATACCGGTTCTCCGAAAAAAATATTGCAATACGTATCGTTTGAAAGCGTATTGCGATACCGGTAATATCGTGCAGTCCTAAAAGTCAAAGAATAATGCTATTTACCTACAGTAAAATATGCCCTGGCGAGATATAAATTCTGAATGTGTAATCTCCACGTATCATCTTCACTAGTCTTGATGTAATGTGAGATGATAGGGCCATGCGCTTGCCCTCTTAAGTAGCCTTTAAAAGTCATTCGGAAACTCGAGTTCTATGCTGGATTAATCTGCTGATTCCATATGATTCTAACAAGCGTTTAGATATGGCAACCTGCACATCAATATCCTCAGCTGAATCCTAACACAAACAGTAATGCAGCTTCAACGTTAGTTTAAAATTAATCCTGGCATGTCGAAGTGTGAGGGTTGTAAAATACTGTACAGATTCCCTAAGAGGAACATACGGAGACCACCGACATTACTGTCCAACAAGCATTAGAATGAGGTGCGCGAATGACGCGTTTGTGAAAGGAGAGGGGAAAACTGATCCACTACCTACTCGAAGGGGGAACAGGTGTGAAAACAGGAAAGGTGATTTTTGTGATCCTTGCAGTAATCACTTTCTACGCCATGATTCGGAAGCGTCGGGTTTCTGCTCAAGCATTTGTATACTAGTATCGTGTAAAGTGGACTGTTAAAAGAGTATTAAACTCTGCAGGTATTTGAAACTTATCATGTCGAACTCTAAATTGGGTAAACGGGGTCAAGTCGTTCATTCCCAAACACGTGAGGTTGCCCACAATGTCATTTAGTACATGTGTACTATTTCCGACAGCACACAGTGCATTCAAAAAAGCCAGCGATGCTACTGGTATATCTGCCAGGACCTTGAGCAAAATAAATGACGATGGTAAATGCGTACCCGCGATGGGTACCAGTAAGTTCACAAGCCCAGGGAAAGTGCGTACTCGTACCGAAGGGAAAACTGAATTTGATGATTTTGATAAATGCGCAATTCGCCAGTACATTCAACACTGCTACACAGTAGCCAAGACAATGCCAACACTGACAAGCATTATGAAGATGGCTACTGATGATTTGGGATATACAGGAAGTAAAGAAACAATGCGTAAATGTTCAAGTGGTTTCAAATGGCGGAAAACTCGTTCAGACAGACAGGTCCTAATGGAGCGAAAAGACATTGTTGCATGGCGTTTGAGATATCTCAGAATGATTCGCCAGTACCGTAAAGAACACCGTCCAATCGTGTACATCGACGAAACATGTGTACACGCCAATCACACAGTATCAAAATGTTGGCAAACTGATGAGGGGGGAGCAGTTGGCGATATTCGGGTACCATCGGGGACAGGTCCAAGATTAATTATAGTCCATGCTGGTACATGTGAGGGGTTCATTCCTAATGCTTCTTTGATATTTAAAGCCAAACAAAAGAGCGGCGATTACCATGACGAAATGAATTTCAACAATTTCTCTAAGTGGTTGCAAGAAAAAACTTATTCCTAATCTGCCCCAAAACTCAGTAGTTATAATGGACAATGCCCCTTACCATAGCAAACAAACAGACAAAGCTCCAACAACTGCCAATCGGAAAGATGAAATCAAATCGTGGCTACAAAGGCATGCTATACTTTTACACATTCAATGTTGAAAGCTGAATTGCTTGCACTTGTGAAATCACGTCCGCGCGGTCCCGTATATCATATCGATGAAATTCTGAAAACCCATGGGCATACTGTCCTCCGATTAACTCCTTACCACGCCGATTTTCAATGCCATAGAATTAATTTGGGAGAATTTGAAAAATTGGATTGTGTCCAAGAATTTAGATTTCAAAATGGCTTCTGTACAGAGGACTTGCTAAGAACGATTGTTATCTATTGGCCAGAAGGAATGGTCAGACTGTTGCAGACATGTGATGGAAATTGAGGATCGTTACTGGCATCGAGAAATTGCCCTAGAGGATGAATCGAAAAACTTGTCATCGAACTTTGCGTCGATACTGATGACAGTGATATCAGTGATAGTGATGATGAGTAGCAGATTCCAGAGACTTACATGTAGCAAATAGCAGATAAACTACCACTGAGCCATCAAATTACTAAGTTTTGTTTGATTAATTTATTAGTACCCCGTTTTGAATTTACATAATACATAATTCCCGTCGAGGACAGCACAAACGTATTATCCATAAAATATTCACACACACAGAACCTAGGCTAGGATAGAAATTAACTTTTGGTATTTTTTTATTGATAAACACAAAAATATTCGAGTGTTGTATTGGGTTGTGTATGGAAATCGTCAACCGCAAAATAGCAAATAGAACCCATTCCAGAAGAGCGAGAGTAGACTGACACGCTTCACAGAAGTTTATCGCTTTACATACCCTCGGCCCCTTAATGGTAAAGTGGACTGCACCGCTATTCAGATTGACAGGTTCAAATGACAGGTCGGCATTATTCTTAAGTTCGTCTCACAGTAGTAGTTGTTCTCCCACTGAGGCTACATGTTAAATTTTGTATGACTTCAGTTAACCTATCTTTTAAACAAAGCATGCTGACCCTTAGTGGCCTTGGGTCTGTGGGTAGCCTAGTGGTTAAAGCGTTCAATCGTTAAGCCGAAGGCCCGGGTTCGATTCCCCACATTGGTATTGTGTGTGAAGCCCATTTCTGCTGTCCCCCAACGCGATATTGCTGGAATATTGCAAAAAGCGGCGTAAAACCATACTCACTCACTTAGTGGCTAACCGTCATTTCCACTGACAAATATGATTCTTTTGACTTATTATTATTGATAACTCTTAGTCATCATTGAAAATAATAACTGCAAAACATTCGTTCAAAGGTCTTTAAGCCCTGTTCATTTCATCATAATATTTTTTTTTTATTATTTCACAGGCAATTGACGATGGCCAAGATACAGTCTCGCTACAAATCTATCCTCAGTAAATGGTTGGGAGGGAGGAAGGAATACACTCTGTTGTACCAGGCTACCAGAGATGGATGTAGTGCGGAGGCCTTTCATAGAATGTGCAATGACAAAGGCCCGACTGTTACCCTGCTGTATAACACAGCGGGCAATGTGTTTGGTGGTTACATCGCCGTGCCGTGGCAGAATACGCCAATAACTTGTTCTGGTGGTCATAATCCAAATCCAGCAGGTCAGACGGCATGGCACTGCCCATATTGCCGCACAGTGTGCAACATAAACAACGTCGGTACAACCAGTCAGTATAGCAATGACGCCACCGCCTTCATCTTCAGACTTACAGCCAAGAAGTCCTTCAAGCCAAAACTCTACCGTGTGAAAAAACCTGGAAATGCAGTTATGCAGAACTCCCATTACGGCCCATGTTTCGGGTCTGACCTACAACCATTTACGAAGAGTGTTACCAAGACTGACAACTACTTCAAGGGAAATGGGACAATAAACGTAGGAACCCACTACGACATGAATGGCGATGACAATAATGTGTTTTCTGGAGGCAACCTTCAGTACACCGATATTGAGGTCTACCATATCACGGGTAAAGACTTGAAATAACTTCTGAGCTCAACATATCATATTTCATTTCATTCAAACAATTACCTTTAGCAAGCAAACAAGTGTTTTGTTCACTTGCTCGTCTGTCTGTCTGTGTTTGTCTGTCTGTCCATGTCTGTGCGTGTGCGTTTGCCTGCGTGCGTGTGTGTTTGTGAGTGAGTGGGTTTAGTTTTACGCTGCACTTAGCAATATTCCAGGGATATATAATAAACTCTTATATATACTCATATAGGTATATACACATACTCCTTTGTGATATGTATATTGGACATGCCTGAATTTAAATAACACTGACCATGTTCTGTATACCTTCCTATAGAGCCAACAGGCATGCCCTCTGCTTCTATCGATGGTGCCTGGCGCAAATTTGGACAAGTAAATCGCGAGGTTCGTAAATAGTGATATAGCAACTGTTGTTACATGTTTGTTTATTTTCACAGAGATTACGTATAGATTTAAGATATGAGTGTGCAGATGCTCCTCGGTGAGCTTGTTGACTTATCATACTTCGGAAACTGTGGCTGAATTCAGGTTACACGACTTACATAGTCCCCTGTAGGAGTTTAACTTGATTAAATCATAACCGCCTGAGAACGGAAATTGGTACATCTAAAGTAGGTCTTGTAGCGATCTCACAAACTAATTGTTATATCTTCGAAACTTATATGTATTATTGATTCTAATATATGTGTACTTTCTCCAAGAAAGTAGTTTCTAAGTGATGGGCTAGTTGTCCTTGAAGGAAGGTTCACTGTGTCTTTATCATCCACTGAATGTTTTTTTGAAAGGAAACAAACCCTAACGTAAGATGTACTTTCGATTTCTAAACAGTGAGTGAGTGAGTATGGTTTTAAGCCGCTTTTAGCAATATGTCAGCAATATCACGGCGGGGGACACCAGAATGTGGGGAATCGAACCCGGGTCTTCGGCGTGACGAGCGAACGCTTTAACCACTAGGCTAACCCACCGCCCGATTTCTAAACAAGTGATACGAGTAATTGTCATGAAAAACACTGTTTGGTGGCACAGGTTTATCACACCACTGTACGTAACAAATGTGGCACCACATGCCGGAGTAGCAAACTGTGTTGATTGTCACAGCTAATATTTCAAGATGGTGAATGAATAGAATTAGACAATTTACAATATGTTAATTTACTCTGCAGGATTTACTATAAATATATATTAGTTATGGACTTTTTGTGATAAATAATACTCACATTGTTGTCCTTCATATTAACTAAAAACGATATGAAGAATCTGCAACACATTTGGACTTCTTGAACTGCCTTCTTAGATTCTGTCTCGAAATTGTAATGGCCTGTTTTACAGTGGTTTCCTATATTTTGACATTGTGAGTAATAATGATATGGTCACATGTAAAGATCTTTAGCACTTCATGACGAGGTGTATATTCAATTCCTGGAATGTTTTCTGATGTCAGTATAGCTTCAGCATTTCTTCCAGATGCTGCTGTCTTACATTGAACGATTTACACCACCGGAAGACAGCAAGGCCAAGGCTGTTAATGTGCTATTATTAGGTGCAGTTGGAGCTGGGAAATCCAGCTTTTTTAACTCCATCAGGCCTCAGACCACAATTATTTTCCTTCTTTGCTATCTACAGTGACATGCCAGTGCACCATAACTAATATCGGTCGTAGGCTGTTCTCCTGTTGCATGCTGACCAACCTGCCACTTGTCACTTAATCGGCAAAATATGAGCCTGGATCGACCATGTCGATTATGCTGTATCCACTGTAAACAATGGTCACCGGAAGTTACGAGCCGAAACACACCAGACAGCCTTGAACTTGGGGTCAAATCAAGGAAGGCTGGTGTCAATACCATGAGTAGATTGTGGACCCAAAAAATTTTGCAATAAAGTACAATGTCTTACCTTTCATTTAAGCTATCACAAGTCACCCTGAAAAAATCAGCACAAGCAGAACAGCCCATTTAAACAAGGCACTATATTCTCATATTTTACTTCCGGGTCATGGTAAAAGTTAAGGGGGGTAACTGTGGTCTGAGGCCTATCAGGACACCAAAATGTCTGCAAATTAAATAAAACTTCATCAATACTAAGCCCAGACACTATGTAAGGCTCACAGAAAGCCCTAACTCATACACAACTTGACTTATTCTCCTTTTACTCCATGCTGTATCTCTGGCATTTGAGTGTTAATTTTGGGCATGAATTAATTTCAAACACAATTCTAATTTGTCTATAACTCCATAACCAGGTGGAAATTGACAAAAACATCAAGTGTTCCTCTTTTGTTATTGCATGTGCTATCAAAGGACACTGGTTTCAGTCCATTAAAGCATTTTTTTTCATTTTTTTCTCTATTTTTACATACATACATGCATTTTATACTAAAATAATTCCATTAAAGTTCATATTTTCAACAAAATGAAAATTGAAACTGTTAACTTTTATTCATTAGAAAGCCCTATCTTTTCTCGTTAAATTGATTGGCTGCACAAGTAGATGTGTACAGCCAATCAAGTGCAGCGAGTCACCAAGCGTGTCCACTCTCACCTGACACCTGGCCAATACGCGACAAAGTGTCAGTAGGTGTGTATGGCTCAACTGCGATTTACACCAGTGGCACAAGACATGTGTATGTCTTGAGTTTCAGTACATTTTCTAATACATATACCTGCTTGTCAGTGCCAGTGACAACACACAGAGATGGGATATATAAGTACATGCTGTGCTCAGAGCTCATTAGTTCTATTCGACACAATCACGATGAAAGGCGACCGCAAGAGAATCAAGTCACAGTTCAGCAAAGGCCATACTCCCTGGAACAAAGGTCTCACCCTTGAATCGGAAGAGTCGGAAAGTGCCTCTCCACCCCAGATACCCAGGACAGTCACTAGGTTGAGTGCAGAAGACTTCTCCCCTGGTCACCAAGTCAAGGCTGGATGGCACTGGGCTGTCAACACCTGACTGCGATGGCATCTCTACTTCAGTGAGGCTGCTGCGTCCCACTTCAACGAGCAAGCATGACCTGAAACAAGAGTCAAGCAAAGATGACTTGGAGGGTATGCGACTAGTCGACACTATGAAAAGGTGGCCGAAGCATGGAACACAGCTCTGCGACTGCATCGGTCAACATCCAGTGACTGTGACGACCCTCAGCTGCAGATAGCCAAGGAGAGAAAATGGGGAGCATGCTGGAAAATAACACTGAAATGTGTCACATGTGACTTTGTAGCACCTGAAATGAAGTTATACAAAGAAATCGAGACGGGTAAACCTGGGCCAAACCCAGCAGCACCCAACGTGGGACTTGCCTTGGGTCTACAGGACACACCTATAGGAAATACGAGAGCGAGGTTACTGATGGCCAACATGGACATTCCACCCCCATGCAGGAGCAGTATGCAGAGGACCTCCAACAAGGTTGCTAAGGCTGTAACTGAACTTAACACTAAGGATATGGCAGAAAAGGTGGAGTTAGTGAAGGAAGTTAATCGAAAGAGGGGTACTGAGCCGTGTGAGATGAACATTGCTATGGATGGCCGATACAACTCGACAACAATAGCAAGCAGGAAGAAGCCAGGGCAGAATGCATCACAAGCAATCGGCATCGCCTGCGAAACTGTTACTGACAAGAAGTTCATCGTCGGTGCGTCATTCCAGAATAAGCTCTGCTGGACTGGTGCCTGGCTGAAAGCAAAAGGCATGGATGTGAAATGTCCAGGGGGGGCACCCAGACTGTACTGCGAACATGTCGGCCTTCACGCCATTCTCTGAGTTCAAAATGGGAGAGGACATTGGTAATCAGCTCGCACTACAGGGTGTACTCATAAAGTATGCCACAACCGATGGGGATTCGAAGTCTGCAGATGGAGTAGACAAAGCTCTCAAAGTGTTGGACCCAATGTGGAAGGTGCAAAGGCTAGCTGACCCAACCCACTTGGCTCAAGGACAGTTCCGACAATGTTACAGAGCTGATTTTAACCCAGATATGTTCCCCGGCACTACTCGTACACATAAAATGGAAGCAAAGAAGGTGCTGAGCCAGGATGTCAACGCACGGTGCAGCCTGATACTAAAAGAACTCATGAAAGATCATGCAGGTGACATGAAAACACTTCGTAGTATCTTACCAAGAGTGCTCGAAGCAACCCTCAAGTGCTACAGCGGCGACTGCTCCAGGTGTGCCCGGTACTCAGTTGTGTGTAGAGGAGGTGTAACAAACAGCTGGTGGCAGCGATCCATGTTCCTCGGCTGCAACAGTATCACTCATTTCAATATGGATGACAATGATAAACACTTGCTTAATGAAATTCTCAAAATGAAGTTAAGTGTAGAAGTGGTGGAACAAATGAAACTGTACACAGACACACAGAAATGTGAAGCTGCCAATCGATCACTGAGTATTTCTTTGCCAAAGAATGTAAACTTTTCAAGGAACATGATTGGGAGGGCTTCTTCTACAATTCACAGGCTCAACAATGGCCCTGGGACATCAGCAATCGACAAGTGCGACCATTCTGGGGTGAAACTTTCAAGCCGAGCTGTGCGGTCACTTGAACAAATGGACAAGGAGGCTACCTATCACAAAGACTATCAGAAAAGCCCCAGTGTTGTGAAAAGGAAACTTACACAGCATGGAAGCAAGATCTGTGAACATTTGAAGTCTAAACAGACTGACAAGCAGAGTGGGGACTACAGAAAGGGTCAGTTAGACCCTGTACCGTGTTTCAGCAAAAACCATGAACATTCTTATTCAAAATATTGAAAATGTGCAGTGATGCTGCAGAACTGTATGTCCTAATTACTTGCTAAAGACAGATACTGTTTAACTTTAAGTTTAAATACATCATAATGTCTCTAAAGCTATGTGTTGTGAATAAATGCTATGTCACAACTAACTGTGACTGTGGTGAAAATCAGGAAATATGAATAAAATTTTACTATATTATATGATATAGTATTTTTTCAATATACTTTGCCTTTGTTTTTCTGTTCTCCTATAACTTCAATGCCAAAAGGCAATCTGGGAAAGGTGCATGGCCTTTACACACACCCCTGTTTACACAGGCCACTCTGTCTGCATTTATGCTGTGTGGTTCAGCAGACAGGTGTTCGACATAGGTGCATTTACTGTTGTGGCACAAATGGCTGATGTCGTAATCACCTATGTCGAAGTTTTCCCTGTGTACTATAAAACTCAGCCTGTGAGCATGAGTAGTACGCCACTGGTAGGCAATGGGGCAAAAATACCGCAATACCCCATACCCACTGTGCTTGCATGCTCCAGTCCACATATGACATATGCCATTTTCCTCACTGAGGACTGAATTTTTCACAAACTTGGCTCTATATCTTTGGAAAAAGGCTTGAATATTAGCCATTTTAGGTATCACATGCATCTAAAAGGCACGTGCGGCGTAGAGATACATACATTCACCATAATTGAACCAATCTGTCTAAATATGATGCGTCCGCTCACTCACTAAAACAATATGCAATCAGAAAACTGAAATAAATTCATAAAAAATGTAAAAAAAAATATTTTCAGTTGAAAACACATGTATACATATTTCAAATGTTCCTGGCAGTAAATATGCAAAGTTTCAAGTGAATATTTTGAAAAATAACAGACATATAGCAAATTAAACACTTGCACTACCTTCACCATATCAGGCCTCAGACCACAATTATTTTCCTTCTTTGCTATCTACAGTGACATGCCAGTGCACCATAACTAATATCGGTCGTAGGCTGTTCTCCTGTTGCATGCTGACCAACCTGCCACTTGTCACTTAATCGGCAAAATATGAGCCTGGATCGACCATGTCGATTTTGCTGTATCCACTGTAAACAATGGTCACCGGAAGTTACGAGCCGAAACACACCAGACAGCCTTGAACTTGGGGTCAAATCAAGGAAGGCTGGTGTCAATACCATGAGTAGATTGTGGACCCAAAAAAATTTGCAATAAAGTACAATGTCTTACCTTTCATTTAAGCTATCACAAGTCACCCTGAAAAAATCAGCACAAGCAGAACAGCCCATTTAAACAAGGCACTATATTCTCATATTTTACTTCCGGGTCATGGTAAAAGTTAAGGGGGTTAACTGTGGTCTGAGGCCATCAACTCAGTCTTCCAAGGGGAGATAACTGGCCTAGCAAGGAGTGGAAGTGCTGACAGGAGCTTAACAACTACGGTAAGAGACATCGATGTGTAGCCGAACAGGTTCGACTAAACTTAATAGGCACTAGTAGTTCAACTGTCCGACTCGTCAGCCTACAATAGCCACTACTCCAACCTTGGCAATTTCTCCTGGTGATCTTCAAGCTTGCCATCTGGTCACAGCACATCACCCTCTTGGAGAATATCAAGTTCAACAGTCCATCGTTGACAAACCATAGGTCTTCATGACAGGCTCCAAGTAACACCATATCCTGGCTGCTTCAATACAAACCACTTGTATTTACTAATAACTGGTTTTATGTATTAATGCCACTTCAACAGGACCTGTTCAGTTGCCCATTATACCACCAATAACACTATTATTTTACCTCTTAATACAATTTAATACCCGTACAACTATCCAACAAATAATCAAATGTATAACACAACCCGTCAAAACATTACCCAATAATAATACATTTCTTATTCAAATAGTAAACTCACATTTCCACAAAATGTCATTCGAAATGCAATACAAAACACTCAATATTCAATTTATTCACACACTTCCAAAGAAATAATATTCAAAATGCAATACAAAATACTATCACGCATTTCTGCCACTAACATCACTGAAATACACGTCTGAAGTTTGCACCACGACATTCGCTGGGTATCTCCCTCTCACCCCAAACAGCCACGCTTTTTTATCACGCACTCCTTCGCACAGCCGGTTGCGTTCCCGCGCCCCGTTCTCCCGCCGAAAACACACAAAGGACCAGATCTTGACACTGACTAAACACAACTGGTACTTTATGGTGAGACAGAGTTCGACACAGTGTATTCTGTACATTTGCCGTTTCTTTTCTGTTTTGTTTTTCTGAAGTACCGACGTTACAGAGTGAGATCAAACGTGACCGGTGGAACCCTGAAGATGCGTTTTTGTGACACCAGGGGAATGGAGTGCGAGGGTGGCCTTGACCTTGTTGACCTCATTGCCGTCATCGAAGGTCACGTCCCAGACAGGTTCCGTGTAAGTTGTTTAGCCTTTCAAGATGCGATGCAATGCAACATATATTATGTACGTATTAGGTATAAAGACAGTGACATTTTACTACACCATGTTTGTCTAAATGGTGTCGGAATGAATTAGTCGCACGCCTCTGTGAACTGTCAATAGATCTTAGCTGTCACGACATGAGATGGATGTGGAGGAGAGCTGAACTGAACGATTCAGGCCTCGGAGCTTTACCACTTTGGCGGAACTATATGGAGCATCTATATGCTGGTGATGAACCTAGCAGTTCAAATCCTGGGAGTTAAATCATTTTTCATAGGCATTCGGATGCATTAAAATTTAGGGCTTTGTGGCACACTGCCGCATACCAATATTATATGAAAATATGGAAACGACTTACATGTTAATATTAACCCAATTGCACATTAAAAATGGTTATATATTATCTTTATTATACAGTTTAGTATTGGAAACGTAAATGTAGGATTATAGGGATACTGTAATTGGTTTATTGTGTGAACTAACTGGGGACGGTATCGTCCTGATTACCTGTCTAGCAGTGACCGTATCACTGAGACGACGTGCCAAACGGATATATAAATGGTTTGCATGACATTGTAAAGTGTTACGAATGTTTCGCCATTATCCTTGTTTCAACATTCGCACAATAAAATCATCTGTGATAAAAGCAGTGATGTGATAACTACAGATAAAACAACTACCTTCAAAATACTATCATTAACAATGTTTCTTTATCTCGGATAATTTACGTCTTTTGAAGACGTGGGGGGAGTTCCATGAGAGATCGTGTAAAGTGAACTTGTGAACTGTAATCAGCTAATAAAAGAGTGAGTGAGTCAGTTTAGTTTTACGCCGCACTCAGCAATATTCCAGCTATATGGTGGCGGTCTGTAAATAATCGAGTCTGGACCAGACAATCCTAGTGATCAACATCTTGAGCATCGATCTGTGCGATTGGGAACCGATGATATGTCAGCAAGCCTGACCACCCGATCCCGTTAGTCGCCTCTTACGACTAGCATGGGTTATTGAAGATACATTCTAACCCGGATCTTCACGGGTCGGTAATAAAAGACACATTCCAGGTAACGTGAAGCATTCAGGCAACATATCTGTCTTTATACAGATATATGCAAACGGATTAAAAGCTAGAAGTTCCGAATGCAACAAAATAAAGTCGCACCATTGTTGTGGGAATGTTATTCATCATGTCGCTTCCGATCTCAGTGTTATTTGTACCCAAACGGGTGTTCTAATGCTGGGGCATAACTATAGCGATTATATTCTGGGGTTTTCAGGCAGTTTGATTTTGTTATGATTTTTATTCAAGGTGGCAAAAATAAAAGCCGAGAAATTTGAGAAAACTGACTTTTGACCAGGTCAAGAATCTCCGTTTCCTATTTGAGACTGGCCGATCAGAGAACGTTCAGGGTTCATCCGGAGCTGCCATCTATGGAGGTGACCTAAGATCCTCTCGCACCGAGTTATGTCCTTGAAAAATGAACTTATTTCAACAAGACTGACCTACGAATTGTCCTTTCCTTAAGTAGGCGATGAGGAAACAAACTGCCCTCTTGAACTGTGTATATATGTATCTTTATTCCATTAGGACCTTGGACACATTCGCATGGAAAGTGGTGTTCGTCATCTCTTTTATCAGCATCTGCGCTCTGGTTTTCGTTTTCTGATCACTGTCAGTTTATTGGTTGCTTTTTAAAGATAAGGACGATTGGTCGCTAATGTTGACTGGTCATATATCCCACTACAATGGGGACACCTGGTGTCAATCCAGAGACGTTCACTCTTATCATTTGGAATTACGATGTTTTGTAGTTCAATCCAACTGCACCCATTGACTCGGACTGTACTGGGTACAACAGTAGTCCTTCTCCAGATGATAAGATTCACTGCATCGCCTTTGTCATTGACGGTACCACTGTCGACGTTTTCCCTGAGAAGATTCTTCACAGCATCAAATCCCTCCAGCAAAGAATAAACACCAAAGGTAACTTGAAGATAATGTTAATGTGGAAACAGTGATATAAACCATTACGTAATAATTGCTCGTCTAACGTATGAGCATTAAGTAAATAAGTGAGTTTAGTTTTATGCCGCTTTAAGCAATATTCCAGCAATATCACCGCGGTGGACTTTACACATTGTATCCAGATTGTATCCAACCGAGCCTACAATGTGACAGGCGAACGCCTTAACCGCTAGGCTACCCCATCGCTAGGCTACCCCATGAGGATTAAGTCTGTGGGGATGGGGATTAAACAAAAACAAAGGAGTAGTCCGAATGACTTGTCTATGTTAAGGGCTGGTACCAAGGGGTTGATTGAGAGTCAGGTGTAGCAGCGTCTTATATTTAGAATAAGGTAGACAGGAATCGAAATTACATCATTAAATAAATATAGGATAAAGAAGTGCCACACTGCCACAACAGACGAAGAGCATTCATGTCCGGTTGTAGGATCAAAACTGCCACCCAAACAAGATAGAACGTATGGTTGTTAATAGTTCTGACAGCGTGGTTTACATTTTTGGGGACAGTGAGGTTTTGTTGCTGGTTTGGGTATTCAACTGACTAAAGAAGACAAATAATCAAGGCGGATATTTACAAGCTGCGTTCCTGTGGCCGTAAATATTATGCTAAAGCTCATATCGACCTATATGCATTATTGGCTTGGCGATATTACTTATATTTCTGAGGAACGTGACTACGTTTTGAAGCGACTGTTTGCCATTCACATTATGGCAGCTGATTCGTGATTAGCTCGGTTATTTACTTCCAAAGGTATACCGCAAGTGGTCATTCTAACCAAGGCTGACAAGGTCTGCATCGAGGTACAGGAAGATGTCAACAAGATGTTTCACAGCGCCGCCATAGGTGATCTTGTGGAACAAGCGGGGCAACTCTTTGGTCTTCCTCGATCGTGCGTCTTCCCAGTGAAGAACTACGAAGATGAGGTTCAAGTGGACAGGAGTGTTGATATGCCCCTGCTGCTGTGTCTCAAGCAGATTCTCAGGTTTGCGGATGACTACCTTCAAGACTCTATGTCCTCTGACTAGAGGTGAACACCTCTGCTTTTCCAAGAGAAGTTAGAATAGATGTACACGTTGCAATCTGAAGATACCTGCGGGATCTTATAAGAGACAGTGCTGTTGCTTTTAACTAATCTGAGCTGTGGGTTTTAAACAGCTGTTAATTTATTCATCTGTGATGCTTGGTGATGGGTCATTGTGTAGTATATATTCCTTAGTATGGTCTTCCTATGAGGGTAACACGTATTTGTACATTATTATACACTCTGTAGCTTTTTCCGGCGTTGGCATTCATTCGGCTATGTCTACTCTAAGCAGGCATGTCGATCGAACCCCAGCATTGCTGAATCCTAGTTGCTGAAACTTAAATGCTTGAACATAGCGTTAAGATCATGTCAATGATCATTCGTCTAAGTGTCTTATGGCCTTGTTCACTGTGTCCATTTTTGTGCCGCTTTCCCATAGTCCGCTTTGAGTGTATGCATAGAAATAATTATTGTATCAAATATTTTCATTCCAAATCCTCTAAATTAACTGCCGCACTAGTTTTTGACTCAAACGTAAACTCACAGGTGATATTTCCTATATTCCTGACAGTTATGTTTCCTGGAGTTTCTTTCATTACCCTGTCATAGAGGTGGTTAATCGAAAATTGCGATATATTGTATTTGTCACTGATGGATTAACAGTATATCTCAAGTCATGTCATCAACCAATTCCCCAAGAACCCAGGCAACATAGCTGCAACATTCATCCCCGTCAAGACACTCAAAACATCCTACTCACCAATGGTAAGAGTCGCACCAAGTCTAGCCCAAGCGCTAGGAGATGTATTAATGAGATCACATGCAAAGGTGGAGATAAATATGTTTGAGAGACGCCCCACAGCCAGTATGAGAACACAATATCTCTGTTGTCAAAGCTCACATGAAAATGACACTTTCGGACTCCTCAAAATTACACTTCATTAATTGTGTTGACCGCCTTATGTCCAAAAAACAAACAATCCTTTTCTGCACTAAAATCAATTACGAGAACACAGCAAACTTTCAGAAGCTATTTTGTTTTTTAAAAGATATTAAAACAATATTCCTATGCAGCATTACTCTTTGTAAAACATATTTAATCAACTTTAATCGGAATAAAATATCTTAACTGCCTTGACACTGTAGTCAGCGTCCTGTTATTACCAGTACAATTACTACACGTTCATTGTACCTTTACCAGTGCAGATACGGGTTAGAATTGATCTTCAGCAACTCATGCTTCTCCAAAGAGATGTTCGAGTGGTCAGATTCACTGACTGGTTAATGCGTGTCATCTTATATCAGGAACTTTGAGCGATCCTTATAGTGTCAGTCAGCGGTTTGTCTGGTCCAGACCTATGTGACTACCTTGTCCGAAACGGACAAATCGGCCTAACCAATATATATTGCTTGTCACAGGAATTCCAATCATTGCGTTGCCTACAGTTTAAATGAAGACATGTCGTATTTGATCAGAAGCATGCCTCGGAGATTCCGTGCATGTCTGATCAACAGAGTTGGTGTTACCAGGTATAAGTGACGCTGGCTGAAAAATGAAAATTTGAACACAGACTTCCTTGATGGCCTAATGTACTACCATGTCATCACAACAACCAACAGAACCTAGAAGATCTGATCGCCCGACTCCTCAACAGATAGGAGCAAGTCATTTCTCTCTGTCACTGCCATGTGGAACAAAGGATATGTCTTGATGATCCTCACTGTGTCCACTAATATTAATGTTAGTGTACAATGTACAACTCCACTAATATTAATGTTAGTGTACAATGTACAACATCAGCACTCTTTCTTTTCTTCAAGGCTTAGTGGGGTAGTGGGTGGGGGTGAGTATTATGTCGGCGCTTATATCGAAGCAGTGAACGTATCAAAGGAATGATGCATTTCATTACAATGAAAATAATTCAGTTATTACGTGTTTTAAATGTACGAAACGTTTATTTAGTTCAGGCATATTAAACAATAACACACGTTGAAAACCGTAATGCAACATATACCATGACCATATCGTTACTAGGCGGGGGTAATATATTATGGGTGTAATTCTACAACCACAATTTCTTCTTTCTTCAACCAACCTACTTGTGCAGGGGTCAGAGCGTCCGCCCGGAGAGCGGAAGGTCGTGGGTTCGATCCCTGACCGCGTCAAACCAAAAGACGTTAAAATATGGTACTTGTTGGTCTCTGCCTGGTGCTCGGCATTAATGGGTACAACAAGGACTGGTCGGCTCGGAGTCAGTATAATGTGTCTGAGTGTGGTATTCATGCTTAACTGCGGCATGGTATCTCAGTGGGCTAGCTCTATAAAAAGAGCTTAAATTTGGGCTAGTACAAGCAGCCACACATACGCACACATGCACGTCGTCATATGAGCGAAATATTCATAAGTGCGACGTTAACCCATTTTCACCTCACCTCATCTTTCTTCAACCAATATGGTTGTGTCGAAAAGGAAAATGGTACCGATTTTACTAGTGTGTGTACGTTTGTGTGCACACTACCAAGAAAAGAGTAAGTGAGTTTTACGTCGCTTTTAGCAATATTCCAGCAATATCACGGCGGGGGACACCAGAAATGGGCTTCACATATCGTACCCATGTGGGCAATCAAACCCGGGTCATAGGCGTGACGAGCGAACGTTTTAACCACTACACCACCTCATCACCCACAAATTGCAAGATGATATTTTGGGTACTAATTATTTAGTATCAAACGTTTCATTTTATAGACAACAACAGCAGCGTTTGCAGCTGAATCTGAAAACAATATCCAGTCCTTCTTCAAAATGCCCCTCACTCCTTGTTTGTCTCTATGTACACCTTCAAATGTCAGGTGTGCCGTTATGATTGTACGATACTCCATTCTTAAGGTCTGAAGGTGTAGATTCTCATTGTCGATTTTCTGCTATTGATAGCGAAATATATACTTTGTTCTATAGGATTTATGGTACATAGTCTCCGAATTTTATGAGTTCATAAGACATCAATATTTGGTTATGCAAGCTGGTAATTTATTCATACGTTTTTATATGATCAGAAATGACAAAATAAATCATGAAATAACATTATTGTTATTATATAAATTCACCGGATCGTAGAAATATATACAAGTATATGCAATCAATTTATACATCCACAATGTAACTTTACCGGATAAGACGTGCAAAGTACATAAACCAATTATAAAACGTGTTACTGTATTAAATATTACTGTTCTGGTTTATTAAATAAGGCCGAACATAGACCCTTTGGGGCATTTATGAAACAACGTATCTTATATGACATTTACGTTCATACATTAAAGTATAACAAACACGTTTGCAACTCAAACCAGAATACAACTATCCCAAACAAACATAAAACAAGTTGATATATGCATAAAGGTCACCAAGTACACTATCACAGTATTATTTACATGATCACACTTTAGAAAAACTCCAAACTATCAAACATTTGAACACATCCTTAAAAAACAACACATTAACCAGTAATGTTATACTAGTATACGGAAATGTGCACAACTGTGAGAACGTATAATGACGTATGTACCCTGTTCTTTTCTGAGAAATATAAAGTCAGAAGACCAGTTAGTGAATTTAGTTTTACGCCGCTTTTAGCAATATTCCAGCAATAGCACGGCGGGGGACACCAGAAAATGGGCTTCACACATTGTACCCATATGGGGAATCGAACCCAGGTCTTCGGCGTGACGAGCGAACGCTTTAACTACAAGGCTACCCCGCCGCCCCTCAGAAGAACAAATTTACTCAAATGAATGATAGATTATATCAAAATCACTGAATGTGACATATTATGTGTAATTGCTTGTCATGAAAATGTAAACGTATGTACAAAATTATCAGATAATGACCATATACGTTCCACGTCAATTTAGAATAGGAGCATTTGTCAAGCTAGTTACCCTCGCATAGAAGATAGGAATAAACGGAGAAGACGTCAAACAAAATCTTGAGAATGTCAGTATATATGCATTTTGTCATTTGTTATACACAAATACTTTTTACTTTACAAATACATGTTTTCATTTGCCTGTAACAGTTGTAAAACAAAATGTCAATGGAATGAATACATCAAGTTGAAAAAATTAGTTAACAACACAACATGAAGCCAGTAGCGAGGTTGCAAGTAACAAGATCATAGCGACAGGTATCACACCACACGCTGGTACAGGTGAGCCTGTGGTGGAAGCAATGTTTGAGTCAGTAGTGACTGCTCTTGGTGTTGATAGTGATGATGTTTCGTTACCAGTGACCGGTGTGGGTAAAGCAGAGGTAAGGCCACTTGTGTCATTAGAAACAGGAGTCGCTGACATGGTAGATGCTATTTTCGATGTTACATCCTTAGTCACGGTTGTAGATGTTGTGCTCTCTGTGGATACCAGGGCAGATACCGTTATGGTTATGTTTGTACTTGCTGAGTTTGAAGGAATACCATTGTCAAATGCCAGCAGTGTGATGTTGTAGGTCTCCCCGTCTACTAGAGGCAGTATATTTCGTATAATCCCAGACCGTTCATCAACAGAAAATATACTTCCATTTTCAATTCTGTATGAGACATTATTCATGTCCAGATCTGTTGCTGTTGCAGTCAAGATGACACTGTAAGGCCCCAGTGGAGATATTTCTAAAGTGCGTGGAATATTTTGAAATACTGGTGGATACATATTTTTCGGGCCAAAAACAGCATTATAAACAGATACGTTAGATAGGTGGTCATTGTTGTCAAACAGATGGAAGTAAAATTTGTTCTCATAATGAGAAGTCAGCCAGGAATTCTGAGGAATAAGTATATTCTTTCCATCATGTTTTGTCACTTTGAGCAGAGATTCTGATGATACATCTCGCGTTATGTTATTGATGGCCCGCGCATATACCCAAGACTCATTAACTTGTGGAACCCGAACCTCAACATATATGTACTTCTTTCTTCCTCGGAATTCCTCCTTTGTTTTCGAAAATCCAATTTCTGATACAGAACCTACAGGATATGAATAAAACCCATTGGAGCTGTCATAGAGTCTGTCAGGGAGATTGTCCTTATCAACAAGGTCATTGACAAGAAAATCATCCATGTTATCTTCACCTACGGTATCAATTCTAACCTGATGGATCATGTCATGGTAGGATATGGATTCGAACACAGACAGCTGGGGATCACCCAGTGGGTTTATATTTTCAAATGTGGCCGAATAGTTATAAAACCTGCCCTTAAGTGATGACGTCATCCACCATCGAGCTGTTTTGGTCTCGCGACTGATGATATCACCAAAGTTAACAGTTAGTGATGGTTGGATGGATTCCATCCCCAGCTGAGCACTGGTGATTTTAAAAGACACAAGCAATCCTTTTTCATTTTCTATGATCTCCGGCTGCCCAGAGGATATCTTCACATGGCGTGCGATCCCATTACCCTTATTAGTTACCATTACTGCAAGGGGGAACGGAACAACCGGTTCCACTTGGGGTGTCATAGGATCATCGCCTTGAACATATTTTTCATGGAAGTAGGCCAAGCGTTAGACTTGGATTCGGCTTCACAGTTATTGTGTCTGGTAAAAGGGGGACGTTGAATTCCTTTTCACCCACAAAATATGATAAAGTGCCTCCAACATCATAGTTGACATCTTCATCCACAGCTGCACCTTTGTAAGCTACAATCAACCAGTCAGCTGAACCCTTGACCCCGGTGGCTAAAGTTCCAGTTCCAGACACGTCACTGATCCCCTCTAACACTGGTTGACCTTTTGGTTTGAAAAGAAAACAAGCGAAATCACACAGTGATTATGTTAAACGAATCATGATCAGTCAGTATTTAGAAACTGCAGTTTTTTACAAAGGCTCTGCACTTGACAACAAATTGAAGAGTATTGATTCCTCCTTTCGTCTTTAAGATGCTATGCATGAACCTTACCTAAACCATGTTGTATCAGAAACTGACATTTTCTGTACTGATTTGTCTCAAATTCTTACCAATAGAGAAGAGGTCATTTTCCAGAGATCCATTTCCGCCAGTTCTGGTTATGATAATGTCCACATCAATTTTTTCCAGCGACCCCTCTTCACCATTTTCTATCTCTAATCTTGCTTGAAAAGCATCTCTGGTCAACACAAGGTCCTGGGTAATCCGAATTCTTACTTTGGCACAGATTCCTTCTTCTGGTTTTGCCTTAAAAACGAAAAATACGACTGCTAATTAACAATAAACACGTGTTTTAAAAACAAACGAGACGGGTTTTTTGGTCGGACGCTCAATAGAAATTTCTGAGGTTAAAGATTCAATGACTTGTGGAACCAAACAACATGGCCCGCATACAACCTAATATCTAATGACCCAGGAACATAATTTAACTGGGTAAGAAGTACATTCATCAGACATTTTCCCAAGCTGATGCTTTGAGGGCAACAACGTCACAAACAAACGCTTAGCTCTTAATACATTGACGTGGAAGTCTGCAAGGCGCGTTTGTCCTAGGGTAGAAATCCGAAGTTGTGAAATCCATGGATGGATGGATGGATGGACCTAGTCAGGTTTTCTTTAGGACAATCCCCAATCATAATGAAGAACAGTGTTTGAACATCAAGAATTTCAATAATAGCTTGCCCCTCTAAACATTCAGACGGGTCTCATTTCTAACAGCACAACAGATGCAGTTTTGTCAAAAACAGCATTAGCAGCTATTTCTTTCTGCTAGTCAGTATATACGCCATGATGTAATGGTTACCTGTCCCTTCAGGAACCGAGTTTTCAACTTAAAAAGAACACGTTTTAAGTTCCAACAAGCCTTGACTCTGGCAACAACAGCTGGCACACAAGAAGTTCAGCGTCCCTGTGGTGCATGACGAGTTTTACGAATCCCTATGGGATACACTCGTGTTTGAACTGTTTGAGTGAATCATGTCATGACGCAATATGACCGTTGTTGTCAACTGAATATATGTATTATCATGATTAAATTAAATTTTACTTTTCTAATAGATGTATAACATGAATCTATAAGTGAAAAGACCACGCATTCTATACAAAAACAACATAATCATATATTCCTACAATTCTCGTTGCAAAATGGCTCAACATTGAACCTGATTAATGATTACGTTTAAAATTGTTAAACGTAATTTAATTCTGCATACACAACTCCGATAAGGAGGGAGCCAGAGGATACAAAAACCTGTCGGGTGTGGAGTGATCCTGGGATTATGAATCTTCTGGATACGAAAGTCATTGAGACCTTATTGTATTGTTGTGGCTTCCTCGGAATTTAGATGTTTTAACAAGCATGTTGCAGTTTCATCTTTCTCTATATTTTCCATGACGAAGGTGTTTCGATCTAAACTATATCAAGTAGTAATTACTCACCTCTTGGACACTTTTCTTATATTCTTCCATTACGTAACCAAAATATTGGAAAACACTTGAAAATCCTTTCTGAAACAATAGCAGAAAAAGTACAAACATGTCACTGAGTTACTTCACAGTAAGGGGTAGATATTTACTCTTTGTTCAGCAATGGTTCAACTGCATCAGGTTGATAAACCATTACAGTTATATCTTCTTTGAGTGGCATTTTAGAATTTGGAAGTACAATATAGAACGAACTTTATGGATAACAACTTCTTTTATTTTGAGGGTGTGACGTTTCGATACACATTCTTGTACGGTTGTCATGTTCCATTCCAGCTTTGGCAACGGTACAAGAATGTGTATCTAAACGATGCACTGACGAAATTAAATAAGTTGTTATCCATAACGTTTGTTCTACATTAAAGCTATACCCATCTGGGTAATGTCGACATTCACCAATGCAATGCAACCAAATACAATCTCTGCTGTTATTTTGAATTTAACAATACTAAAACATTCAAAAGGTATTCCGTTACTCCCCAATGAGTCCTCATTATTGGTGCTTTGTGATCATCAAATCAAGCATGAAGGCTTCTAATTTGTCATTGCGAGTGAGAGAAGCTTTGAGACAAGAATAACTGATTTCTGTATACCGAAAAAGAACTTGGCCAACTGTCATCAATAAACGTTGGGCCACTTTATTTTTTGGACGTTTCATATACCCGGTTGTTTCTACATCGGACATCTACACCCCAAAAAGGGACTGCAGTCGAAGGAGAAACAACTGATTTCAGTGAAAAGGGCAAATGGTGATCTTTCAACCAATACGTTAGAGGTAGAATTGGCACATGTAAGTTTACCAAGTGGTGAAGTATAACTATATCATGCATATGTCCAAGATATTTTTATGGATTAAACTTCTTTTTAATTTCTCTCACGACGTTTCGAGACCATTCCAGGTCCCTTCATCAGGTGAACTGTCAGTTAGGACTATAAAAAAAAGTTTAATCCATAAAAATATCTTGGACATCAATGTACAACTTCTAAACGCCACTGAAAGACATTATATCATGCATATACTTTAATTACCACATATTATACTTGTCCGTAAAGGAAAATTGATTTGTGAAATGTCAAGGAAAGTTATAACATTGTAGGTACTGCTGTACTTTAGATTCTTCCGAAAAAAGAAAAAATAGCTATTTCACAGTTTATACATACGTCTTTAACAGTCTTTGTATTGTCCATGAAGGTGTCTCCAAGGGTCCTCACATTTTGCAGTGACATGACATTTGATTCTGAAACATCTGAACTTCCGTCTTTCCACGCTGAAAATGTGTTGTTCCATCGTTGTAGAAATGTATTTATAACAGCTTGGTGGTCTACAACCACGAGTTGTAGTATGGTGTCAGCTTCACTGTTATCCAGGAGGTATTGGGACGGGCTGTTTTCTGACACTCCTTTAAAGAAGGCCTGTTTCCACTCGCCCTTAATGTCAACACTGAAACAGACCATCACATTTATACAATAAATGACGTTATACCACCAACAACATCAATATAAGAAAGCATTGTGACTCCATAAAGATTTCACTTGTTTTGTTTGTGGCTTAACGCCGCACTCAGCAATATTCCAGCTAAATGGTAGTGGTCTGTAAATAATTGATTCTGGACTAGACAATCCAGTGATAAAGATCAAGAGCATCGAACTACGCAACTTGGATATTATGACGTGTGTCAACCAAGCAAGAACTTCAGCGAACCTGACCATCCGATCCCGTTAATCACCTCTTACGACAAACATGGGTTGCTGAAGACCAATTCCCATCCAGATCTTCACAGTTACCATAAAGATATCGATAAGCTATTTCAATAACTTGCATGCTGATATCACTTGTTCTAACAGAGACATCAAAATTCGTGAGATAACTTACACACTGAGATTACCAAATATTTCTACAGAAACATCAACGAAGTTCTTGAGATAGTTTCTGGACTCCTCCATTGCAAGCACAAGTTCGGAGTTGACCTCCCGCCGCTTTCGTCCACTACCTTTACAAGTTCGGGAGAGTCCGTCAAGACAGCTGGAATGAAAACACGAGTAAAATAGTTTCACGTTGGTGAGTGAATGAAGGGACTGTTGTTTTACGGCTCAGCAAACAATATTCCAGCTACATCAAGGCTGTGTGTAAATAGTTGAGTCTGGTATGGGCAAAGTAGTGGCTGATGTTTTGATTTGGTTATTTTGTTGTTTATAGTGGGCGTCTGTAAATAATTGAGTCTGGACCAGACAAACCAGTGAACAACAGCATGAACATTAATCTACGCAATTGGGATACGATGACGTGTGTCAACCAAGTCGGCGAACCTGAACCCGATTCATTTGTCGCCTCTTACGACAAGCATGTGTTACTGATATCCCGGATCATCACGGATTGGCTGATGTATTTAACAACAATCAATGAATTAAGGTCATGAACTAAGTACCAGAAGTTCATTTCATTTTCAGTCTTGTCAATCAATATACACTGACTTGCAGCCAACCCTTATTTCTGTGAGTCGTTGTACGTCATTCCAAGCAATACGACAGCTATAGCAGAACAGGGTCCTGTAGTTAAGGGTCTATTTTAACCAGGAATCATTACAGGTTAATGCATACTCACTTCAGATATTTGAAGAGAAAGGGACAGACGGGGCAGGACAGCCCAAATCCACAATCCAAGGCATAGCTTGCTGCTGTTGTTGCCACAGACACTGCCGATGATGACTTGTCGATTTTAGAGATGTCGTAAATATCAAGTAAGCACCCAACTCCTGGTATCAGCTCAAAAGGGAGTCGAAGTAGTGGTATGTAACAGTTGTCAATGAGCCCCTTCACACAGTCACAAGGTATATTGGTACCGACATACCCCCGCGCTGCGAAACTACCTCCTGCAAGAAATCCCAAAATATATATGAATATTCGTGTTGTACGAACATGTCAAGGAAAAACCCATACCAATAGATGAATAACGACCGTATACCAAAACAACACGTACCAGAAAATAGATCCCTGAAGAACCGGATGGGAATTGATCTTCAGCAACCCATACCTGTCGTAAAAGGCGACTAAAAGGGTTGGGTGATCAGACTTGGTTGACACATGTCATCGTTTGCCAATTGCATAGATCAATTCTCATGGTGTTGATCACTGGATTGCGGCGTTAAACAAACTAACAAAAGCATCAGAAACTTATTCACTTTCGGTTTATGTCTGAAGAGTTGTCAGCATCAGCCCCTTGGTCAAGGGTTTAAGGAGGGTGGCCATGTATTACTTCAGGCTTTGTCCACACGCCCATCACATCGCGGTTGTCTGAGACACTATTCAAACAGGCGTCCATCCAAACTCACAGATTTTACCATTACCTCCATATACTGATCCTCCGCGGAAGCCGACTCTTCCCCCCACCACACGGTACAGGAGGCTGGCCAGGATACTGCCGTGTTAATCTCACAGAGGCGCTGTTTGTTCTAACCGAACCACAGATGTAGTCATACAGCACGATAAAACCGCACACGGATGATGAGGAACGCTTGCTTATCTTCTTTGGCAGCACGTCGATTTGGACAATTATGCTGGTGTTTGCATCCAAATTTCCTATAGGGTCGACCATCTGAATACATACATAGTTTGTCAGCATTCATTCTATGTCGAAGATGTCAGCGAACATGACCAGAACACAAAATGAAACAAAATCTTAAATATTCATTTTCAAGATGTATTAGGGGCGGTGGGGAAGTCTCGTGAGTGAAGTAATGGGTCTTCACACTTCCATGGTCAAGTAATTCTTTCCAAGCTTGTTTACCGTAATATTTTATTGTTGCAATAAAGGAAATATTGTTCTACAACAGTTGATAAAAAACCATAAAAAATATTTAGTGGAGAATTATGTTTTAATAGTGTCACACATGACGAATACGTCCAAACAATTTGCAGTGCAGAGTTAAGTCCCTTTGAACTGCGAGGACGATAGGCTCGTTGATTCAAATCTAGTATTGGCCATGATTATGATTCTTTGCCTGCACTGATCTGGCTTTATAAAAGTGGTAAATGTCAGACGTATACCAAATCGATCTGTCCTCTCAAATTAAGCTGACGCGTACATTGATATAGTATTTACCTGCACGAACTGTAAAGTTGGATGGTTCGGTAATGAAAACCTGACATTATTTGCACGGATAAAGCCATGGTTGGTCAGAGTAAACACCATTCTTGTTAACCGTCCTTCTTCGTACGGAATAAAGTTGACTTTAGCAGGTTCTATAGTGACAACAGGCATAGGAACCTGAAACAGACACCAGCTAAACTTGTACATTGTAAGCCTATAAAAACACATAGCGAATTGGTGAGTTAGTTTAGTTTTACGCCACACTCAGCAATATTACAGCTATATGGCAGCGGTCTGTAAATAATCGAGTCTGGACCAGACAATCCAGTGATCAGCAGCATGAGCATCGATCTATGCCAGTGGGATACGATGACATGTGTCAACCAAGTCAGCGAGCCTGACTAGACGATCCCGTTAGTCGCCTCTTACAACAGGGATGGGTTACTGAAGATCAATTCTAACCCGGATCTTCACGGGTGACATATATAGAAGCTTTGATCATGAAGCAAAATGTTGGTGCCAGTCAAGAAGTGCTGCTGATTGAAGATGGACATGCATGTACCCTTGTTTCAAACGTTGATTCCAGCGTGATTGTGTACTTGTCCTCGAATGTTGTCTTTGTGACAGACCACGTGTATGTTACTGCGGTGCGCTGGAGAAAGATCCTGTACGTAGATTTGCTGCCATCCACAACGATGATGACAGACTTGGATGTGTGGTTGGCTGCTTCAACCTGCAGGGTATACCGGTCTGCATAGATCCCGTCAAAATTTACAGTGCCTGTGGATAAAGAGTTAAATTGCAAATAACTCTCACTTTTAGATGTATCATCGTACAAATTGGTTTTAGCGTACATACGCCAATCATCCTCACACATGGGGTAGCGAGGTTGGGACCTTAAACATGGTCTCTCACGGAAGCATCAGGAAAACTCAGGTCGACTTCTTCAATTGAAGGAGAATTGTGTGATATGGTCAGCAATGAAGAATTAGAACAACATCATTGTCTCCTCCTTATCGGTATTTATATTTGTCCAACTAGGGGCAATACATAGTGTTAAGACCAAGTTGTAATCTTTCACAAATATTAAATTTTGAATTTGAATTAGTTTCGCTCATCTGGCTCTATTTTCAACCATTCAGTGTCAGACTTTTACAAATATGTGCAGTGAGATACAAACTGCTTCTTCCGTCCAAAATACCTGATTCATTTGTAATGGCCGTCTTGCTGAACATTCTCCGTGGTTGTCTCAGTGTCACCTCTGCCTCAGCTAACAGTGGTTTATCAGCTGCAAAGTATGTGTACTCGTCCTCCACAAGGACCTGGATGCCGTGGCGGTCATCAGAAGTTATATAGAATGTAAAAGCAAGCGAAGACGAGGCATCCTGAGAGCCGATCACCAAGTTCCCAGACGTTTCACCAAGCTGTCTGTCCGCGAGCACAGTATAGACGAAAACAACTGTTGCTGTTTCTCCCGGTTCCAGGTCCAACTTTCCAGATGAAGAAGAATGGAGCTTGGATATAGCTGCCACTTTCACAGGCAATCCATCGGGAATTTGGACATTGATGTCTTCAGCTGGTGCCTCACCAGTGTTCGTGATATTGATGTTGAAAATTGTTTGTTTTCCTCTTGCTGCAGCTGTCTTGATTGTGGATGGTGATAACTTGAGAAGAGGTCTCCTTATCTTTAGATTTAGTCTCACTCGTAATACTGTTCTCGTTCCCCGCTCACTACGTAATACCACATACAACTCTGTTTGCAAAGGCAGCTTCTGCTCAATGATGAGGTGAAGTGTCACAGTTGCCATTGGAGGAAGCCTTGTGATGTTTGTGCGTTGTTCGCCGAATTGGACCCATGCAGAATCAACAGTGTAGGAATAACTCTGAACCTGAAATATTCAATTGTTTATTTCAAGAGTTTGGTCTCTTAATAGCTGGAATATCGCTGAGACAACAAACAAATCAATCTTGATCGAAACAGTAGAGAGAAGAGTGAGTGAGTTCAGTTTTACGCCGCTTTTAGCACTATTCCAGCAATATCACAGCGGGGGATACAACAAATGGACTTCACACATTGTACCCCAGTGGGAAATCGAATCTGGTTCTTCGGCGTGACGAGCGAACACCTTAACCACTAGGCTACCCCACCGAAGAGTAACCACGACGTGCATAAAATACATATGTCAGGATGCTGAATTCTTGGATTCTTGTGTTCCGTGAAGAAACTCCTAATTCTGCTAATCACACACATTAGTACCGACGGATACCCCGGCCCACTACGTATTGTTAATGTAACATTCTTCAGCCCTGGAAGTCAACGATATGGTATCTGGGGTTCACATTCATTACCATTGACCACAATAACACTGGAAAAAAGTCCACTTTTCCAAGCTTGGAAATGTCTTGGAAAGATGATGTTTCCAAGACATTTCCAATTTTGGAAAGATGATATTTCCAAATTGGAAATTTTTGAAAATCACCATATTTTTTCTTGTGTAATCTACAAAGGTCAACATACCGTCGCAGAAATGTTCTCCAGTGAGTCCAGTCCATTATTTGTAACATTTGCAACGACAGGAAAAGTGACTGTTGGCGTATCGAGGTAGGCTGTGAGCGACACAAACTTTGGGTCACAGATCATGCTCTGGACACGCCAGTTCTTTTGCTCCAGAAACTCAGTATCAGCCGGATGACTTGCGCTCTTTAAACATATATGTTGCACTTCACATTATGACAATACATTTCATCCTCCTATATAGATATTTATCCCAAGATATTTATACATAGATGGAAAGGATACATACAAACTATCATAAACAAATGTTAAAAATGCAAAAGCAACTCAAAATTGAAACACCTTCAAAATTTTCAAAGTTTTCAGATCCAATACTGTTATATGAAGCATACGGCTTTATGGATAACAATTTCCTATTTATTGCATAGCGCGACGTTTTGCAATATATTCTTACATGGATATCAAGCTAAAACGCCGCTCTATGCAATAAACAAGATGTTATCATCTATATAGTCGTATGTTTCATTATTGACACACAAACTTCTAGAATACCGATTAAACAAGCAATATTGTTATGTTTTGTTTGAATAATAATACAATATATTTACCAGTAATTCACCGTACGTTATGAATGATCGTATATACACACCACACTAAATTCGCCACTGTCATCTGGCCGTGGGTAATAGATGGCGGTAAACAGAAACGGTCTTGTGTCTTCAGCCTGAGCTTCCAAGTCACGTACTATGTTTTTGTTTCTTATCCTATATTCAAATAGTGAATAATGATTAAAATAACGTGAAACAGCTTGAGAAAAGTGGTTAGCTGTTCCAAACAAAGATTTGATTATACGTGTACAAAGTTTATAGTCTCAAGAGCAAAAACAAATATGGCATCGATCTTATGTTAAACACGTTCTGTTTGACTAAATTGGATAAATATACTCATGGAAATGAATATGGTAACACATGAGAGTACAAGTGTTCCAATATATATTTCCAGAATTTCACTCACAGTGCAATACATACCTTGTGAAGAAACCTGGAAACGGACAAAGGAACACTTGTGCTTCCACGTGTTCCCTTATCAATTTCTATGAGTATATATGACTAATACGCATGTCAAAGTTGGAATGCTCTACTTAACGTTCCGTTTGCACTTTTAAAAAGATACGATGCCCTTGATCCTTGCCAAAACATCAATACTCACTGGATTGTAACCACAGCTGAAGTGAGATTCCAGTTACTTCCAGACACGTCAAGATGTCCAGATATACGGATTTGTGTCGGATATGCCAACGTCCCCGAGGGTGTCAGACTATCCACTACAGCACTGTAGGACAGAGGAACTGACAACAGCCACTGGACATCATGGTGACCAACAATATTTTGCGCACGAACTTTGATGACATAGGGAGTAGATCTACCAGTGGCAGAGATCCAAGTGATGTTCCCAGTGTCCTGATCGATCGTCATTCCCAGGGGAGATGAAATCAGTCTCCAGCGAATTGCATGGGTACCCTGGCAACATGTATAATTACATTGCATGTCATTGTCTTGTAAATGCTATAGTATTGCACGAAATCTATCTAATACAAACCGCTTTAACAACTCATAACAAACAATACCAACAAACATAAATCAGAGGAAGATTTCGTCTAGGTTTGTTTCATGTCAGAGAAACTTGTCTACAGAGATCATACTAGACTAACGCTTAGTCTCTGAATGTATAAGTTTGATTGTAACAAATAAACCCATTCAAATTGAAAAGGAGAAATCTAGACTTGCTTCATTTAGGGCTTTGGCACTGCAGGGAGGGCTAGGCTGTAGGGAAATAATATGGTTGATAGAGATAGACTAAGATCATACCTGTACAAGCGACATCTTCTGTTCGTAGCTCTGTCCCTCGGTCAACTGAGAATCATTTATGGCACTCACTACTGGCGGTAGGGCTTGTACTGAACAAGAATCTCCTGTCCAGGGGAGCGTACATGTGCATTGTCCAAACAGACATTGACCATGAGGTGGACTGTATGTATCCCCACAAGCCGTTGTGGGACATTGTACAACGAAGGTGTAAGAAACCTATTTTTGACAGAAAACATAGTTAAATCGGAGACATTAGAACTTCAATTTTAATAACGTTTGAAACATAACTAAAATGTCGACAAGAAAGCATCAGTGAAGATTAAAAACTTACATCCCAAAAGCATAATCTAGTGATTTACTCTTGCAAAATGCTCTTATGCAGATACAATACACATTTATTGCAGCATAATATATGAAGTGAATATTAACTACATATGTCACAATGCTTTAACAGAACTTTCAGTCTCGTCAGATCATCAAATGCATTTACCTTATTGTTAGTGAAGTGCACTCCGTCTGAACTTATCTCAACATGTACTGTTCTCTGGCTTAGTGTAGGTGAGATACACGTGAAATGCTGTCCATTGACCCTCTGAGCTGCAACGGTTACTGATCCAAACTTGCATTTGTAATTACTGGTGTTTGAGAACTTGAAGTTATGTCCTCTTATATGGACAGGTGTCCCCCCAACGTCAGGGCCTGCATCCGGAGACACGCTGAGGACAGTTGGTAGAGGGAGGCAATCTGGTCCATAGAATGTTTCATTGCATTGATCACACAGGTTGCCACTCCAGTTGGGACTCTCGCAAATACAGGTTCCTTCAAGAAACGAAAAGAGTGTTGCAGTTCATACAAAGGCATTGCTGGAAATCTGTTGATACATGATGGCGTTGTGAATATTGTCTGAATCAAAGGCGGTATTCTATGTTGTTTCTATTTAACTGTGTGGTGTAAGTATGTATGTATGTATGTATGTGTGTGTGTGTTCGTGCAGGTGTGTGTGCGTGCGTGCATGCATGTGTGTATGTTTGTGTTCGTGTGTGGATGTATGTATTTATGGATGGATGAATGGATGATGGGTGGATGAATGGATGCATGGATCCATCCATGCATGCCTATACGTAATTGGGTAGGTGGGTAGCTGGATGGATGGGGAGGTAAGAAGGTAGGTAGGTGGGTGGTCAGGTAGGCAGGTAGGCAGGCAGCTGAGTGGGTAGGTTCACCCTTAACGTTCAAAAGCCTTGTATAATCGATACACAGAAAACATTTACTACTTCAACATACCTGTCTGTGCGTCGCATGAGCCATGTACACACTTAGGACAGGCTGCACAGTTGCCTCCCCATGTATTTGGAGCACAGGCCTCGCACGATTCTCCTCTGTACTGGGAAAGACAAGTACATCTATCCGGCTCTCCACAGAATCCTCTCCCTGAACAGTTATTGGTCTTGTAACAGGTAGCAACAGCACACGACTCGCCCATCCACCCATCAACGCACTCGCAGAGGCTGGGTCCGACACATCTTCCGCCATTACATTCGCTGAGGTCTGAACAGTCGTACTCATCACAGTCATCCCCCTTCCATCCGCTGATACAGCTACATCCATTTGGTCTGACGCACTCTCCTTTGCCACTGCAGTTGTTCACTTGCGAACAGTCAAATGCCTGGTTTACCGATATTGGTAGGTGTATTACATTCAAGAGTCTTGGGTCATCAGATCTTTCCACAATTTTGTCTCGGACCACATTTTCGTCGGTTGTGCCCCACCAGTTGTGTGAGGCATTGATATAGCCACTGCCCAGTTTAGTAACTTTCAGCTCAAAGTCAGAACTTGGATTGTCCAAAATGTTCTCAGATAACGTGTAATTTTCTAAATTTAAAGTAACTGTCCCTTCAGTAAAATGTGATTGTGAAATCTGGTTATACAAGAAGGATCCACCTGGCGTTTGAAACGCTGATAAAGAAAATGCACAACGTCCAGATACTTGTGTTATGACATTGGAGCTGACCGATAATGCTAAAGTTTGACTGCTCCATGATCCCTTCTGCAAGTCTATATCAAATAAACATTTTGAATCTGACGTGATATTATTTCCCCTGTTGTCAGTAACCAAGACCTCACTCATACCGGTGGTGACGATGACAGCGGTACCCTGACCTCTTAATGTATTTGACCTCATAACAATCTTTTTTCTGTCATCCCGTCCAGCGTTCCCAACTGCTGAAATGTGCGCAGATCCATCATTGTTCTCGAAGGTGCAGTGGCTTACTGTTATGTTTGAAAAGCCATCATAGTATCTTGATGATATCAGACGAACTGCAGGCATGTTCTTATGATCATGAACAAAACAGTTTCTTATCTTAATTTGGTGATTTCCGTTGAAAGAGTCAAGTTTCACATAAACACCAAACTCATCATTGTTGAGGATTTCCATTTCCTCCAGAGAAATACTTCCTGTTTTACCTTTATGATAAACTCCGCTCAGGGCATTGCTGTGTACAATCCCATTACGCAACAATAAGGAATTTGATTGGATCACAATACCGTATCTTTTACTCTCAACAATAGCAGATCGACCCAGGTTTACCATTGTTACACCATACCCTATCGTCATCCCAGATCTCTCTGTGTGTGCGATTCTGCAGTCTGACATCGTCATGTTGTCTGTGTAGGTCACCAAGCCATAATGTGATCCAGTTATATTGACATTTCGTAAAATGATCCCTGAAATAGAAAACAAAATCCTGTTTAGGGCACATTCATAGAAATGTTATTGTTCAAGGAACTGAAAACAATCTACTAAAAACACGAACTCTTTGGTTTTGTCCTGTGAACATTTGATTTCTTTTTTAAAGACGTTCACCTTTTGCGTTTAGTTTTATTGAATTCAAATGTATATGACACACATGTGATGCTGAGTTGCATGCAGGTGCAATGTATCACAGCTGAATGATAACAACATTACCTGCTTTGTAATTGAAAACAATTCCATGCCAGGGCTTCATTGTATGATATTTCAGCACAACTGGCTCGGAGCTGGATGATATGGTCTCAAGAAAACCTGATGAATTAACGAGATGCATTATATATGAAGGTCTAGAAAAGCATCTGATACAATATACCACAGCAACAAGTACCCATTTCATCACATTTCCCAGTACTAGTAGTAAGTCACTTTGCTCAACATTTGATACTTTGCATAATTTCTGTAATTAAAACTCACAATGAATTCATGGAGAATCAAACAAGAGGCAAGGTTCAAGGTTCAATGTATGAATCATTAGTTCAATAAGAATAGAGATGGACACTCACCATAGGAATAAATACCCCTTTTTTGCATGAAGAGAAGCTGAACTCCAGCATGAATGGCAAGTCTTCCTTCATTCCTGTAAGAATGATGAAGGATATATATAAGTAGGACAAGTCGGTGTGTCTTTATCAGAATGAATCTGAAGGGATTTGGAACCCGAAAACCATCCCCATAAGGCTATTTAACGAGTTCATTAGAGAATCTACAATTTATACCAAAACTACCAAAATATAACTGGCCTTCAGCAACCCAGCAGAATCGGGATCGGGTGGTCAGGCTCGCTGACTTGATAGACACGTCATCATCGTATGTCAGTTGCATAGATCGATGCTTATGCTGTGGATCATTGGATTGTCTGATCCAGACTCGATTATTTACAGACCTCTGCCATTTGGCTGGAATATTACTGAGTGCGGCGTAAATCAACAACCGAAACAAGCAGCAGTCAAAAGATTCATTCCATCTTAACTCAACCAGAAAAAGACACACGATTCCTTTCATCTTAAGTCGTGCAATACACAAGATTCCAAGCCGTACCTGATCATTATTGACCTCTCTATGACGTATGGTTCGGACCGTCCAGTCAGAGTTATCTCCTCCTCCACAACTCCTCCAACTGCTCCCAACTCAAAGAAATCAGTCGGCCTCACACTTGCCACAGACATTGTTGTATTGGACAGTAGAAAAGGAATATACGATACAAATCCAAGCTCCATATTGACGTCAAATCCACATATTCTGTCCTTGATTTGAGACAGTTCAGTGAATCCCCAGTAGTTCCATCTTGCATCATTCTCCAGATTGCTCTTGAAACCGGCCACCTTCAGCTCACATAATGCATTTGGATTGAAGAAGGAATTGTTGTTTATCTCTATTTCGTATATTTCAATGAGAAGGACATTCGTAACTTGGTTCAAAACCATGGAATTGTTATTGATCTTAATGTTTGAAAATGTACGATCCTCTTTCGGCATATGAATTACACTTGGGGCAGTATTGTTCCTGAACACGTTTCCTGAAATGTGTATCACTGAGCTCGATTGTATATCATATATCGCTATCATAGGAGCAGTGCTTGAAAGGGCGTGGTTATTACAGAATGTATTTGATGTTATGTTTACATCATGTCCACTTTGACTCTGTAACTTGATACTGAATATCTGGCCTGTGTTATTAACATAAGTATTGTTAGCAATGATCAATGTGGTATGTCCTTTCTGGCGGTAATAATCAAATACAAATACACTCGCTACATTTCCTTCAAATACATTTTCTTCAAATTGTATCTCCCCAGATGTGATAGAAAATCCCCCCATATAAATAACTCTTCTATAACTAAACTGTGACGAAAATGAGTATTCCTTGTATCGTGTGTCATGTGCTATCATACTGCTTCTACGGACACTGAGTCGCACCTCATGGTTGCTGTTTGAACCAGGGTACAGATACATGGCATATCTTGTGTTAGCTCTCACGACACTGTTTGTTACGGCAATGTCTAAATACACAGACGATTCGGAACCGATCCCAATGAGATTATCTGCAACAGTGCAGTTATCCACCGTTACAAGGCCAAATCCTGATAAATATATCCCATACTTTCCATTTCCGGACAACACACAACCAACCACAGTGGATCTTGAATGTTTGTCTATGCCATGAATTCTAATGCCATGTAAACCATTGGACGACGATTCTAAGCCATCCATAACGGGCAAGGATGTTCCATACTTGGAGATAGTAAAGCCACTGGCTTTTGAGAAGGAGGACTTTACATTTGATATTTTAGTAATATTGCCATTTAAAACTATTCCATCAAGGGTGTCATTTATCTCTAGATATTCAAGTTGAGTGTCAAGGGTGGGCGCTGAAAAATAAAGAATTCAATATGAATATCTTAGAATTTAACCTACAGAATAACGAAATGGAAAAGGGGTTATAAATTCTTGAGTTACCTGTGAGATAATTCCCATGGCATCTGACGCTGATGTCTTCGAAATGAGAACAATACGATCGTTTGTTGATACACTGGTTTACGTGTGATTCGTTGCCCACACAGTGTAACTTTGTATATTCGATCGTCCCAGAGCCAGATCCAAACTTTGCACGATCGTAATACGTCACTCCACCTTCAGGGCTAAAACACGCACAAACAAAATGTGTAGGTTCTCTGAGACGACAGACTGATGGTAACTGCATATAAAGAAAACATTCAACTTTGAATGTGTGAGTAAGTGAGTTTAGTTTTACGCCATGCTCAGCAATATTCCAGCTATATGGCGGCGGCGGTCTGTAAATAATCGAGTCTGGACCAGCCAACCCTGTGATCAACAGCATAAACACTGATCTACGCAACTGGAATGCGATGGCATATGTCAACTAAGTCAGCGAGCCTGACCACTCGATCCCGTTAGTCGCATCCTACGACAAGCATGGGTTACTTTAGATAAATTCGAACCCGGATCTTCATGGGTCAACTTTAAATGTAAACAGAATGGACTTTACAAAGCATCAATGGGAGTTTTTAGAAATAATTATGAAGAGGAACAGAAGGACTTAAACAGTAAACTACATACTCAAAGCTGGCCATTCTGCAAACCACTTTAGCATCATGAATATCAAAGCCATCATCGCAGATAGTGCTGTATTCTCTTCCAACCAGAACCTCGACTCTTCCTTCACGTTCATCACTACCGCCAGCAAACCGCACGATTCCTTCAAAGGTATGAATTATATGTATGTAGACAAATCTCTTGTTGAGAGGCGCGCATGCAATCCAAATTGTATCACACCTAGTTTGTTTGTTTGTTTGATTGTTGTTTAAAGCCGCATACCAACTAGGCGGCGGAGGTCTGAAAATAACCTTGTCCTGTCATATCAGTGATCAATAGTATTAGCATATACACAAGTGGAATACGATTGCACGTGTAATCCAAGTCAGCGAGCCTGACCCCCCTCTGACGCCTCTAACGACAACCATGGGTTACTGAAGAACCCCGTTCTTCGAATTCATGGGTGTAGCACAAATCGTCCAAGTCAGTGGTCCATGACTACGTATGTAGATGTTCCAAACAGCATGGCCAAAATACGGGGTTCCTGTTATACAGGTGCCCGTACTAACACGCACTGATAAAGCAATGTTATATGCTAGTAATATTACTTTTAGGAACTGGTTACAAGAGTTTGTGTATACTTACGTGGTTGTTCAGTCACTTTCACTCCCTCCCATGGTATACCTACAGTGGCTGGGTTGAATCGTACTGGCATATCTCTGGATCCCATAACATAGAGGCTTCCTAAACACAGAATGTGCAATGAACGTGAACATATCTATTGCAAGCAATGACTTGTTGAAAGTTATTTCATGACAACAGAATGCCAGTATCCCAAGAATAGAAAACATTTTTCTAACATAAACAACATGATCAAATATGAACAGTATGGTTTTACTACAAAGACTCTCCCTTACCGTCAAGTCGCAGGGCGGTTGGGTAACCTATTTGTTAAAGCCCCCGCTCATCACGCTAAAGACTCGGGTTCGATTCTCCACATTGGTACAAAGAATGAAGCCCATTTCTGATGTTCGTCGTGATGTTACTGGAATATTGCCTTAAAGCGGCTTAAAACCATACTCAATCACTTACTCACCTTCAACTCGCATTCCAACGCTGTCTTTAAACAGCAGTTCCACGCCAGCATCTATCGCCAGAGTGTCATCTTTGCCAACAATTATGTTACTTGTGACAGTGTATGGACTTTGTGCTCTCGTCAGTGTAACGGTCCCACCAACGGTACCGCCTATTGTTCCGTTTGAGTCAAGAAAAGGTGTTGTCTCCACAAGTTCTGTCATTTCCCTATCTTTGAAAAATGGCATGATTGATATCTCAGGTAGGACTGCGTCATTAGATTTGTCATATATCTTTACTTCTATATCTGAAAATGTGTCTTTCCCCCAATAGTTGTAACTAGCGTTGATAATGGTATCCCTGAAATCATTGCTGGCGAATTTTATGAAGTAGGCTAAATTGGTTTCAAACACATTGTTTGTAATGATAACATCCGGCGTTTTCAGTGTAAGCAGACAAGAATTGAAGGTATTCATGGTTGCATCTATTTTCTCATCGAGAGATTGTTCTGATTTAAATTCCATATTTCCAACATTAAAATTGTTTTCCTTAATTATAACCCTGTTATCAGCATCACCGCTAAGATCTATATCAGCAGTTCCCGCCGAAGCCAAAAATGAATTATTTGCAATTTCAGCATCTAAATATTGACCTTTTACCTTGAATACGCGTCCCTCATACACATTAAGTGTATTGTTCAGAAACATTACAGTCGTTAATGAGTGGGTTGAGTCACATAAAACACCGCCTGTATTGAAAGCGGACCCGCTTGCTGTGAACGCATGTGGGGCAGCATCACCTTTCGTCGTGATTGTTACTGCCCTGGAGGTGACATTAGAGTTCTCTAACATAATATTTCCAGTGTCATTGCTTGTTGATGTCCCTGAACACGTAGACAGGCTTATATCATTATTCGGGGTTATCAGCTGAGATTCTGATATTGTTACATTGAAGCAGTGAGATCCCAGTTTAAGAGAATCTACTTCAACATAGCTATGGAGCAGAGACAACACCAGCTTGGAGGAACATTTTTCCTTGCGGAGGTTTTCAATTGTCCTTGCTGCTTTCAAGACACCATGGGTAACTTCCAGATCTACAATAAAGGGAAAGGGTCGGGGTCAATTAAACCCAAAACAGCTAGGATAAGTCTTTTATCGTTGGGTTTACTTATGCCTGGTATCAGAATAGAGCACTGAAAGACTGACTGTTGATGGTAACAATGTACATTTACTTACTGCTGTTCGTAAGAATCAAGCCTCCCCATCCGTTGTTGGTGCCATTTTGTAAAAACGCAGGTGAAGTTGATGATCCATTAATTTTCAGTGTTCCTGAAAAATAAGATTCCTTAAGTACAATGAAATGATGTAAACAAGCACTTCTTATCATCATATATACATGTATATCATGTTCTGAACGTCAGGATCCGTGAAGATCCCGGTTAGAAATTATCTTCTGTAACCAATTCTTGTCTAAGAGGCGACTAACGGAATCGGGTGGTCAGGCTTGCTGGCTTTGTTGACACATGCCATCGTATCCCAAATGCGTAGATCGATGCTCATGCTGTTGATCACTGGATCGTATGGTCCAGACTCGATTATTTACATATCGCCGCCATATAGCTGAGTATTGCCGAGTGCGGCGTAAAACTAAACTCACTCACTCACTCTTTCTGAACGTCAGAATTCAACCTAACACATTGATGTGGCAGCTACCACTGATTGTAAACATGGCATGTATATTTACCTTTAACAATGATCCCTTGGGCTCCATGGAAGGTAAGAGTGACATTTGGCATGATGGTAAGCGTCTGTCCTTCAGGCACTACAATAGTTCTCTTCACCATCAGTCTCTGATCTGGGCGAACAAGGACATCTTCCTGTAACACTCCTCCAACGTCAGAGGGTTCATCATCAGTGAAGATGGTGGTCCCACTTGAAGTCATGTCCATGGACTTGGATGTGAAGTATGGGTCAATCTGTATCTCAGCTCTGCTGATGTTATGATACAAGTCATATATCCGTGAACGGATTCCCCGTTGATCTGTGATACCCCAGTAGTTTCGGCTCGCATCAACAGAAGTCTGATCATTATAAAGTTCGTACGTAATCAGGTCGTATGTCGAGTTTGGATTTTCGAATACATTTCTGTATATTCTGCTGTTTGATCCCGTTAATTTCAAAGAACCCACACGTGAACTGTTTCTGAAGACGTTGTTGGCAACATCAACTCCATCAGCATATAGATACAATGCATACCTACTATAGGAATCTTCAAAATGATTTCCAGAGATGTTGATAGGTATGTTTGCATAGTTCGAATTTCCATTACCTTGATACACTCTGATGCCGCTGGAATCTGCAAAATGTGTGATGTTGTTTCCTCTCATGTCTACAGAGGCGAACCTGCTTGAGCTTAAATCATCAAGGGAAATGTATATCGCATAGGCTTCTGTATAGGACGGACCACCTTCAAATGTGTTGTAAGTGAGAGAGATGTTAAAGGTATGCTTATATGTATCAGATTTTACATATACACCTGCGTATGTATTCTTTGTAAATTCGCAGCCCGTGATTGTCACAAGGCTATTCACTCGATTCACCCAGGCATTAATACGCAGGCCATGTTTGTTGCGTTCAAAGATGCACGAAGAAATATTGAGAATTCCGTTTAATCTAGGATCGGCGAGAATGGCTTCTTTTGAATTGAATCTAAATGTTGAGTTTCGGATTATGGTTTCCCCACCATTACTTCGCTGTAGTCCTACTCCGTTGTTGTCAACATGAGACGATTCTATGTCAGCATATTCCGAGTGCGACAGTTGGAAGCCAAACTTGTAATTCCCTGTTATATCACTGTCAGTGACGGTCATCCTAATACCGTTATCACTTGATGCTATTCCGGAATCCCGGTTGTATCGAACGTTGCATCGAACTAACTCAACGTCACACGAACTTGACAGCGCCAGTGCATGTTTACCGTTCTGATTAAAGGTACATTCCTCAAAGAAAAGTCCACTTCGTGATACCCAGTCGTCAGATACCACTAAACCATTATTCAAATTTTGTGACACTTGAAGACGGTAAAATGATTGTGTTCCAGAACCTCCATTTGTTAAAATTATGCCATAGGAGTTAAAGTAAACTTTGGTGTTGTTAAAAGAGATGGAATCAGGGGGTCCCATGGCACCAACATTAGCATGTCGTATTGTACAAAAATTGCAGGAGAGTACGCCTGGAATAAATAGAAGAGAGCATAATGACACGTTTTGAATAGCCGCATGAGTTTTCATTGCATAATTGTGCATATCTACCTTTTTAAATACAGTAACATGTTTTATATAGATTGTATAGAAGTAAATAATGTGAATACTTTCTACATGTAAACCTGTACTATTTGAAAACAATATCTTGTGATGTTCAAATTGTATAGAAGTAAAACGTGTATTTGTTTTCTGTTACACGATTATTTACGATAACCAAATACAGTAGAATACAGAAGATATAAAGTTATGTACCTGTTTGTTCAGTTCTGAGGCCTTTCCAACGATTTTGTGCTCCAGAAGGAACGTCACTTGACCAGAACGATACGGGCAAGCCTTGAATACCAGCCGCCGTCAGAGAGCCTTAATGCAAATATACATGTTGTTCAATGAATGAAAATATACTGAGGGAAAAACATGAGGGATCACATAAAAGCACAAGTGTTCCTCTATATGTTTCCAGGTTTTCTTCAAAGCTTTGAATCGCACAGCTTGTGAAGAAACCTGACACAAAATAAAGGAACACTTGTGCTTTCATGTGATCCCTTATTTGTTTCCCTCAGTATATGATTCATAATGTTGCAACACACTCCTCAAAGTTAATAGAATACTCCCGTTTGAATCAAATGTATACAAAGTAAAGTAGTCTGTATTCATGTGAATGTAGGCCATCGCCCATGGTACAACGTTATACATTGGCAGCCTTCAAGCTGTAGCGACGACGATCGTTAGCACAGAAGATAAACATGGCAAGATTTCTTAACACAAGAGGAGTAGCATTACTCATCAGTCGATAAAATTTACACAAGGTTGGATGGGTGAAAACATGGACAGGGATAAGACGTTTACGTAGATCACCATAGGCAGTACAAATAAGTAAACAGTTTAATTGTCAGGACGACACAAATAAACATTTCAATATAGATCAAAGTCAACCCATAACAGTTCTATTTCGTTGTATTTTTTTAGTTTCTGTCGTATTATAAGTTTAATGACAACGACGTGTCAAGTGAGGTGTCACAAATATTTTGTTCTGCGTTGACAGGTTAATGAAAATTTCATACCTCGAATGAGGATACCAGCATCAGTGGCACTGAAAATAACTACGACTCCAGGCTGTATTTGTAGATGTGTAGCAGGGCGAACCGTGACTTGGGCATTGAGAACGTATGGACTCCCACTCGTTGTCCATACAGTATTGCCCTGAAAACAGTCACGTAGATGGCAAATCATGTGTAAGTGAGTTTAGTTTTACGCTGTCAAACGTGTTAAAGCATGTGTCAAATTTAATACTAAATTATCGGCATGTGATGATTGTCCTTTGGGCTTACGACAAGGGTGTATTCTAAGCCCTCTTCATTTTCCATTTTTATCAATGAACTAGCTCATGAAATCGAAGCACGTTGCGTACCAGGAATTCAGCTTCATCCTCAACGTGTACAGTTATTTCTTCTTTTATTGCTGATGATGTTGTGTTTATGTCTGATACAGTGTTTGGTCTACAGTGAGTGAGTGAGTTTAGTTTAACGCCGCACTCAGCAATAATCCAGCTATATGGCGGCGGTCTGTAAATAATCGATTCTGGACCAGACAATCCAGTGATCAACAACATGATCATCGATCTACGCAATTGGGATACGATGACATGTGTGAACCAAGTCAGCGAGGCTGACCAACCAATCTTACGACAAGCATGGGTTACTGAAGATCAATTCTGACCCGGATTTTCACGGGTAAGATGCCAAATCAATTCTATGTTAGATGAATGAATAGTGCTGAATAAAGGCTACGGTGGCAAGAGCAATAATTAATTGATTCGTAATTTTCAAATGCGTACAGTGATCACTTAGTATTTCACACACTTTTATGTTTAAATTCAACTGCAGCTCACGCTCATGAAGTAATAACGTACCCTTATATCGCTGTTTATCACTGTGGGTTGTCCCTGGTCAACGGAGGTGTTGCAGCCATGAACCTCGAGGCGTACACCAGAGTTGGTGGATCTGGGGCTGACGGCAACATATCTCGCCTAAAGATGCATACAATGATATAATGTTATCACCACACGAGTGTATACTGTAGTATTCATTATGCCTTGTAAGTCTAAAACAAACGAGCCCAGACAATGAATGATCGTCTTTAATGGAACATACGACTTAATGGATAACAAGAGTGATAACAGGTTATTCTTTTAGCTTGATAACGGTGTTAGAATCTAAACTGAACCAACGCTCTATGCAATGAAGTCGTATACTTCATTATTAGCGCGCCGACTTCTAGAATGCCAATCAAACAGCTACGAACTCTGTTTCGTAAATGTGCAACGTACCTTCAAACATTTCTTCAGACAGATACGAATTAAAAAATATAGGTCTTGTGACAAAAAAATGAACAAATGTAAAAGTATAATTTATTGTTTAATCTATGCAGAACCATTCACACCCTGCATCGAATACCTACTAATATTTTGGTATATTCGGTAAGTGTATATGTAAATGCCCAGGTTGCCTACGTACTTTAATTGGAGAGTCCAGTTCTATTTTGACAACATCAGACCATGACTCTGCAGTCACGTCAATATCTTGGTTGCCCTGGTTCTCCGTGTACGTCTCCCATACAAGTCCATCCAAGCTGTAGAAAAGCGACAACGAAGTTATTTTTTTGTAACGGGCTCCCTGCACCGACAGGCCAGTTATCTCCTTGAAGTCCAGGAAGTCAATTCTCAAGTAATCTTCTGTAGACCGAGGCACCCATCCATCTGACAAGTCAATACAAGAATTATAAACCTGTTGTGTTTTTGGCTAAATTACATGCCAAAGTACATGGAAGGCCTATTTTCGATCATTTTAATAGCGAAGTGACACAAAATAACGTTTTGGGGGGAAGAATTATGTTACAATCATGATAATTACATGTACTTGCTAATTAACGTTTCAAATAAAAATAACATTTATTTAACGATATAGGCAATCAGAAGTTATCATGCCAAATCCATATATATTGAGGGAAAAAAGTAAGGGATCACATGAAATCACAAGTGTTCTTTTGTTTTTTCCCAAGGTTTCTTCACAAACTATGCAATACAAAGCTTGTGAAAAAAACTTGGAAAACGTAAAGGAACACTTGTGCTTTCATGTGATCCCTTATTTTTCTCCCTCAGTGTATATGTTTGCTTTACATATACCAATACCATTAAAGTCTTGACATAAACATCTTTCCTAGCCTTGAGGATATGATTACATTATGTTATAATATGATACATGAAGATTAAGAAAATACTCATCCGTACATTGACCATGAAGTCTTGCTGTAGAAGGCGGCTGGGAATAATATTTTGAAGATGACGCTGTTATTTGGGTATCCTCTACGATGCCACTTTCAAGGCCCAGAGCTTCATTACACTGCCCATGCACTGTCAAAGATCACAAGTACAAGTAGTTATATTGTGTTCTTCATAATTGTGAGTGGAGGCTTTACCATCTTATCAGACCCGTGAAGATCCGTGTTAGAACTGGCCTTTAGTAACCCGTAAGAGGCGACTAGCGGGATCGGGAGGTCAGGCTCGCTGACTTGCTTGACACATGTCATCGTATCCCAATTGCGTAGATCAATGATGCTGTTCGCTGGATTGCCTGGTCCAGAATTGATTACTTACAGAGTGCCGCCATATAGCTAGAATAACTACCACTTGATCATAAGGAGAGTGGGCATATTGTTTTAGGCGCCTCAGATCGCTGTGCGTGGGTTATGTGCCCTTGTGTACCCAGAATATTTGCAATTATCAATTATTCGATCCAAAGATACGCCCTGATGTTGACCCTCAAATTATCATCACCGTCGTGTAAAAATAATTGGTATATATCTCTCGATTTCGTTCGATGTTAAGTTCACATACTTTTACACAAGCCTTGGTCACATATGTTTGAATATGAGACATCTGAGCAAGAGAATAACTATTCCCCAGAAAGAATCATGTTTTTTAGAAAAAGTTCCATTGACCTTAAAGGGCAAATTAGTTGTGCCAGTTGTATGAATAGGCCAAAGGTGAGGTGAGGTGAAATTGGGTTTAACGTCGTACTTGAGAATATTTCGCTCATATGACGACGTGCATGCGGGTGTACGTGTATGTGCAGCTGCTTGTACTAGCCCAGACTGTAGCTGGTTTTATAGTGCTAGCCCACTGAGATACCATGCCGCAGTGAAGCATGAATACCCCACATTATACTGACTCCGAGCCGACCAGTCCTTGTTGTACCCATTAATGCCGAGCGCCAGGACCAACAAGTACCATATTTTAACGTCTTTTGGTATGACGCGGTCGGGGATCGAACCCGCGACCTTCCGCTCTCCGGGCGGACGCTCTAACCACTACACCACGGAGGCGGTCAAATAGGCCAAAGAAAAACTGAGTGATGACACCAGGTGGTCATGAAAAGGGTAGTATGCATGTCAGGTTCTTTCGTAGAACCCGCCATTAAATTTACATGAAAGTAGTACCCAGCATTAATTATGCCAGACAACACTGACTGGTAAATAAATCGGACATGTGCGTGTGTTGGGTGTGTGACTGCGTGCATTGTTAACTGTGTGTAGTGAAACGCTATTTTTAAATGAATTTCTAGGTAGACTCAAAGTTTCGTTCTGCACTAATAAAAAGGCACAAAAACATTTGGATACTCGTTGTTTATTTCGTTGTTGGATACTTCGAACCATCTGTTCTTGCCAAACAAATCCAAATCCATAGACTTCTAATGTATGCTTTATCCTAGATGCCAAGCTCGTACAACTATTACTTTCCATTTGTACAAGCACATTCTAACATTTCTCAAACACAACGCTCATTGACATTTTTAATATTTTACACCAATATCTGATAGACCTTTTGATGGTATAAATATACAATGGATATCTTCCACATTCGCCTCGCACAACATGCGCTGTAACAGAGGATTTAATTCCTAGAAATCGTTTACAAGCTGCTACATGCACAACTTCTATTACGTTAACAACATTCAGTCCCAATATTTCTGCGCCGTATAATAAATTTAACAAACTTTGGTGTCGAAACTCTTAAAGAACAAGTCAAAGGATAACGTTGACAGTGATCTAAAATACCAAATAAAATCGCTTAGCCTGCAGACATACATTTTCTATGTGTTTGTTCCATACTAATGACCTACTGAATAAAATACCTAGATATTTGTACCGGGAAACACATTCTATTTGTAGACCATTATAGAACCATTTTTCATACTTCGACAGTCTTCAACCTATTTTGAAAACTACTTCCTTTGTTTTTTTCCCATATTTACCGTCAAACAATTCTCAGAACAAAATATCTTTAGGACATCAAGAGTCCTGTCCTGTGTTTCTGTAGACCAATGACCTTGAAGGTGCGGGTTAGAATGAACCTTCAGTAACCCATGCTTGTCGTGAGAGGCGACTAACGGGATCGGGTGGTCAGGCTCGCTGACTTGGTTGACACATCGGCTCCCAAATGCACAGATCGATGCTCATGCTGTTGATCACTGTCTTGTCTGGTCCAGACTCGAATATTTACAGACCGCCGCCATATAGTTGGAAATATGCTGATTGCGGCGTAAAACTAAACTCACTCACTGTAGACCAAACACTGTATCAGACATAAACACAATATCATCAGCAATAAAAGAAGAAATAACCGCTAGGCTGAGCGGTCTAGGCGTCTGACGTTTTGTGCTGGCGATTAGGTGCGCGGTCTAGGCGTCTGACTTTATGTGCTGGCGATTAGGTGCGCGTTCTAGGCGTCTGGCTTTGTGTGCTGGCGATTAGGTGCGCGGTCTAGGCGTCTGACTTTTGTGCTGGCGATTAGGTGCGACTTTTGTGCTGGCGATTAGGTGCGCGGTCTAGGCGTCTGACTTTTTGTGCTGGCGATTAGGTGTGCGGTCTAGGCGTCTGACTCTTTGTGCTGGCGATTAGGTGCGCGGTCTAGGCGGCTGACTTTTTGTGCTGGCGATTAGGTGCCTGACTCTGAGGGTGTGGGTTCGAATCCCAGATGGGACTTAACCCCCAAAGTACTAGAATCTATACTTCACTAAGAAAGTGTAATCCCAAATATAACATATGTTACATTTGACCACTTTCTAAAATGGCATTGTGTATTTCATACAATTTTAGAACTGATTTTTTAAGTGTGAGTAACAAAATATCACATAAGGTAGATTTTACAATGTAATATCTTTACATATCAACGTATTTGTAAGAAACATGTGGATATTACTGTTGTTACAGGAAAGACATTGGGTCTTCGTCCTAATTAGTTTAATTAGTCTTTATAAAAATATGGCACATAAATAAGCCTCAAATACTATTGATACGTGAACCTTAACAACGTATCTTGCCATGTGTGAAAATAAAGTTTGACGATTTTGTATTTCAATAAGGATGTCTTTCGTACACCAAATAGCTGCAACTTTTGAGAATGACTCATATATACATGTACGTTCGTACGAACGAACGTACGAAATTACGTACGTATATCTGTGTGCGTGTGCGTGTGCGTGTGCGTGCGTGTGCGTGTGTTTTGGGTGTGTGACTGCGTGTATTGTTAACTATCATTCTATCCTGGACAAGTGAACCATTTGATCAGATCAGTTACATCACAGGATGTCACCGTCAGGGATTATGTAACTCCGACACGATGTTACCTCTGTCATTAAACATATATATGATGCAGACAAAGCCTTAAACAAATGAGCGGGTCCGCTTTGTGAACGCAATCAACGCAACAAAGAGCGAACCGGTGGAACTAATGTGATTTGGAGGTATATGATCTGAAAAATAATTACCCTCGTTCGTCACTTAGCAGCGTCAACACCCATCAAACGGTAACTACATAAGAATTGTTAGGATAATGCACATATATTGGCTGTCTTGACTTTAAATGGGTTAAGGAATACCTGTTGACATAGGGCTCCTTGGCTAAAGTTACGGCATATTCCAAGAGATCTACAGATTCTTTGAACGATATAACAGGCATATTTTGTGGTGTGAGTTAAGGCTAACAGCAGTGTACGGTATTACAGTAACTGCATCAACTCAATGCGGGAGCATCTCACAAGTGATGCAGGTCTCAGATGTCGAACTAGATGATCCCGTGAGATGCCGCCAAACCTAGATTTACGATCAGTGTGTGTGTGTGTGTGTGAGAGAGAGAGACACAGAGAGAGATAGAGAGAGAGTATGTGAGAGAGAGTGCGTGTGTTTAAGAGAGAGAGAGCTTGTGTGTGTGGAGCGTGTGTGTGTGTGAGAGAGAGAGAGAGAGAGAGAGAGAGAAAGAAAGAGTATGTGAGAGAGAGTGCGTGTGTGTTTAAGAGAGAGAGAGCTTGAGAGAGAGAGCTTGTGTGTGTGGAGTGTGTGAGAGAGAGAGCGCGAGTGTGTGTGAGAGGAGAGAGAGAGAGCACCTGTGTGCGAGCGTTTGTGTGTGTCAATAGACTCATGGCCAGATGGGTGATGGTACGTTTGTCGGCGTCTTATTGTTGCTGTATGACACGAGTGTCAGTCTCTCTCTCCCCATGTCTATCTCTCCCTCACACAATTACATGAACACACAGAGACACCTGCACACACAAGTCACAGGTCCTCGATGTGACAAGGGACCACATTCCTTAACGAGTCCCCACAGATCACACACATCCTAAAACAAGAAGGTAGACCGCGTACTCACATCTACCTCTAGGGCGACACGCCACTATAAATAAAACTTCTAACACTTTCCATGCGAGCAGGCAACGAGGTCAAGGTAACTCTCAGAGGCTTAAAACGAACTAACAGTAAACAGAGGACGTGAGCAGTGAATAGAAGGTACACCTACCGGCAGTTGTTGTAAACATCAGCATCATCAGCCACACAACGTGGTGCTGCTCACCCGTGGTAGTCGCCATCACACTGACAGTTAGAAGTTCCGTTTCATTTCTTGTTTGTGTCGCGAGATGTTGGGTATTGCGGCTTAGGTAATACCGGGCGATACATCCGCCTTCAGTCTTGCTGCGCAGGACGCTCAGGGTTAGTGACGCATGTCACTGCCACAGATCTACGGTAGCTTCACGGGGACATCTTCCTCAACTACACCACAGGGCCGGGTATGAATAGACTTGCTCCAAGGCTGTACTTAATGCTAAGTTCATGGATATAAGTGATTCTATCCTTTAAGGGGGCAAGTCTGTGATTTATATTTTTCACAAATTTTAATTTAAGCTACCAATTATTACCTTAGAGATTTGTGCAAGTCTAGGGTATGAAGACAGGGTTGACTTACATGGATCTCACCTTCTTTATTCGTTCAATGCGAGGCTTTGGTACAGACTCTATGAATCGTTTATCAAGCAATTCATAGCAGTCGCAAATTAACCGGAAACGGGTGTATCTCACAGACCCTGAGCATCATTATTTCCCCTAGTGCCTAGGCCTCCCTGCAGTGCTAAAGCCCTAAATAAAGCAAGTGTACATTTCCCCAGGTCTGATGGGCGGTGGAGTAGCGTAGTGGTTAAAGCGTTCGCTCGTCACGCCGCCTCGTTAGTCTAATCGGAACAGCTGTACCACAGATAGATTGTCAAGGGATTTTTATCTTTTGTATTAAAATGTTTGTGAACGAGGACTGTATACTATGATTCATTGCTTAACGGGATATGAATGTAGGGCAGACAATATCCCTAACATTTCCTGTTTATCAAGTACCGAAATGAGTGCACAGTGCTCGGAGGTCAGAGGTCGCCTTTTACTTCCACCAGTATTATGTCACAAAGTTTAATGTAGGGGGCAGGTAAACAATTCGATGTTGCACGGAAACTTTGATTTCTGAAGTTTTCGGAGACGTGGGATGTTGATTAATGTTTTTTCCATCCCCCAACATTGTACAGGTTTCAGAGACTGAATCTTCCTGTTTTCCATATAGTTAATAACAGTTATGGTAACTTTTCTCTGAAAATGAAAACATCGGTTTAAACACGAGAGAAGTGTCCCTTGTGGTGGGATAGCCTGGTGGTTAAAGTGTTTTATCTTTGTGCTAATGTGTACAAATTGTGAATATATCCCCAAAGTGGCGTAACACCATACTCGCTCGCAAATAATTAAGCACCCATCATCGTGAATCTCAACATTTTCACTCTTACTCTTTTCCTGTGTATTTTTGTCAGTTTTGTTTAACAACTTTCTCATCAAAGCGTAATTCCAAATACAACATGGTACGTTTGATAACTTTCTAAATGGTACTGTGTATATTAAAAGAATTGTTTTGTATAGTTGGGATGGTAGGACTGCAGGGCATACCTGATGAATTCAGCTTCTTATCCTTAATAGAACATTGGAACTTTTCCTCATTCATTTGGAGGGGCTTTGAGGTAGCCCAGTGGTCAAAGCGTCCGCTCGTCAAGCCGAAGACTTTCTTTCGATCCCCCACATGAATACAATGTGTGAAGCCCATTTCTGGTGTCACCAGCCGTGATATTGATGGAATATTGCTAAAAGCAGGGTAAAACCATACTCACTCATTCACTCACTCACTCCTTTGGAGGTGTGGCAGGCATAGAGCATGTGTGTACGGATAGTCAGTAAGAGTCCACTTCTTTTGATACAAATTGTATTTTTGTCCTCTTTTGAGTATAACAAAATTCAGTCTATTGCATGCACATTAATTCTGCACACATACAGTTTTTACTTCTGGATAACATGAAATTAAACAAAAACAGATTCAGTTTGCCAAATCCAGAACTGGGTAAATATTGTTATCTCTCAATTGTTGACATAAATTCGCTCGGGTTTAACCAATGAGAATAGATCCCAGAATTATAGAAAAGTAAATACACAGCAAGGGTTGACAAGGAAGTTTACAGGTCACCAGATAAGAAATTCAAGTTGTCCCGGATCTACCTAACAGATGTTAAATAAAAGAAAACAAAGAAAACATGTAAACAAAGAGATGTACGTGTCACAGCGTGACACCTCCTATTGCCTGTGACCTACATTAATCCAACTCTTAGAGTATCTTTCATGCCTGAGGCCATTTGTTGCACAAAACACGAGACACCTGTAGTCCAACGTTACTTTGAAAACATTTCACAATACAAAGTGGTTAATGTTTACTGAAGGCAGTGCAATGTATATCTGTCAGACAGACGACCACTATGATACTTTCTTCTTTGTCTGGACCTGAGAAGAAGTTAGAATTGATATTCATCAACCCATGCTTGTTGTAAGAGGCGACTAACGGGATCAAGTACTTCCTCAGTACAAGGTAACTTAACAAAATCACAGTATGCGAGGGAGATATAACCTTGTGTTTTTTTTAAGGTTTCTCCTTGACACAATCCCCCGTGAAGATCCGGTTTAGAAGTGATCTTCATCAACCCATGCTTGTTGTAAGAGGCGACTAACGGGATCAAGTACTTCCTCAGTACAAGGTAACTTAACAAAATCACAGTATGCGAGGGAGATATAACCTTGTGTTTTTTTTAAGGTTTCTCCTTGACACAATCCCCCGTGAAGATCCGGTTTAGAAGTGATCTTCAGCAACCCATGCTTGTTGTAAGAGGCGACTAACGGGATCAAGTACTTCCTCAGTACAAGGTAACTTAACAAAATCACAGTATGCGAGGGAGATATAACCTTGTGTTTTTTTTAAGGTTTCTCCTTGACACAATCCCCCGTGAAGATCCGGTTTAGAAGTGATCTTCAGCAACCCATGCTTGTTGTAAGAGGCGACTAATGGGATCATGTGGGCAGGCTCGCTGACTTGGTTGACAGATGTCATCGTATCCCAATTGCGTAGATCGATGCTCATGATGTTGATCACTGGATTGTCTACTCCTTACTGACCGCCACAATATAGCTGGAATATTGCTGACTGTGGCGTAAAACTGAACTCACTCACTCACTCTTCTTAGTCTGTGTGTTGTAGTGTAAGAGGTATGTGGAGGGAAATAGGAGCTATATTAAAACATGACTTCGCAACAGTACACAATTTTGTTTTCTCATAATTCCACTTTCTGTGGGTAGATGTATCTAAGACATATTGTTATCACACGCTGTATGAACAAACACGCAAACAAAACGTGACTAGAACCAAGCCCGTTTGACTATTCACAGCAGGTGACAGCTGAGAAAACCATATCTTTAGTCCAAAGCTGCCTCGTCTCAGCACAAAGATGGCTTTGGGGAAGGTTTTCCTACACTTTAACATCAAGATTTTGTGCATCGTGCAAATGACCCGAGTTGTACTGACTTACTCAACACGTTGTTTGGTATAACAAGTAGTTTCACGTGCAAGTTGGACTCTGTCAGCGATGACGGCGAACGTATTATCTATGCATTTGGAACGCCGTGCTAATTTGTGCCGAAATCTGTCGAATCTGTCATGCAAGTGATATGTATTAAGAATGGTCATCAATACAATGAGTAAAACTTTAAATGTTCTCCGCATGAGATGTGTCTAACAGAAATATATTTTTATCAAGTGCAGATAAAAACGTATGACAAGAATAGGTGCAGACCCACTCACACTATTCCGCGTGCATCCATACCCTTATACATGCATCCATACCTATACCCATGCATCCATACTTAAACGCATGCATCCACACCCATGCATCCATGCCAACACCCATGCATCCATACCCACACCCATGCATCCATACCCAGCCCCATGCATCCATACTCATACACATGCATCCATATACCCACATGCATGCATCCATACCCACATACATGTATCCATCTACGCATGCATCCATACCCACATACATGTATCCATATACGCATGCATCCATACCCAAACGCATGCATCCAAACCCATACACATGCATCCATATACCCACATGCATGCATCCAAACCCACACATATGCAACCATACCGACACACGTGCATCCATACTCATACTCATGCATCCATACCCATATCCGCATCCCATTAACTGTTATAATTACCTAGGTCTACTTGTGGCTTGTCATATGGATAATGTCAGTATGGCTATATATGCCACACTACCGCGATCAGCACATTTGGTCTACGTACAATAGGTAAATAAAATTCGACTGACTGAGTTTGGTTTTACGCCGCTTTTAGCAATATTCCAGCAACATCACGGCGGGGGGACACCAGAAATGGGCTTCACACATTGTACCCATGTGGGGATTCGAACCCGGGTTTTCGGCGTGACGAGCCAACGCTTTAACCACTAGGCCACCCCACCACCCCTAAAAAAATTCGAACGTTTTGGGCGAAGCTGTAGGTAAATCGACTTTATGTAATTTTAAACCAAACACACGGTAAGCTTGGTGTAAGGAAAAATAATTCTTCAACAATAGCGGAATTCTGCTACATTTGGTGGTGATGCACACCCTCAAGCGGCTGCACCTTAATAAAAACGTCAACAGCAGCATATTATTGGGGAAATTCCTGTGTCAGGGAAACACGGCGGTATCTGTGATAAGTACATGTTACCATAGGGCAGATAAACGTCGTAGTTATATACAGAATGTGTGTGTTACTGGTGCAGGCTAATGCAGGTTTTACAGCTCTTGCCCACTGAGATACCAGAGGCGGTGGGGTGTGGTTGCCTAGGGATACCATGCCACAATTTAACACGGATGCCCTACTCAGGTACACTTTACTGACTCCGAGATGACCAGTACATGTTTTACTCACTCCAAGCCGACCTCCATTCATGCTAAACAAGGCTACCCCACCACCCCTTATGTATGTTGGTATGAAGCCACATTAATATGTATACTACCACATTCCAATCTCCGGCAGACGGTCTGTTCACTAGACCACGGAGGCAATCGTCACTAGATAAATGTACTGTGTTTAAAATAATTATATTTTGCAGAGTATCTCAAACACGTAGAACATTTTAAAGTGACTGAACTGATAGAAAACGAGTCATATGAAGCCATGCTGATTATGTCCTGTATGTTTGCATCTACCTCTTCTCACCAATGAAGAACCGCGTTAGAATCGATCTTCAGCAACCCTCGCTTCTCTCAAGTGAGTGAGTAGGTATGGTTTTACGCCAGTTTTACCAATATCCCAGCAATATCACGGCGGGGACACCAGAAATGTGACGATCGGACGCTTTAACTATTAGGCTACCCCACCGCCTCGCTTC